AAAAATGTTGAATCAGAAATAAATACTAACTAAGATAAAATTGATGAAGAAAATATAGGAGACACATTACTCTTACAAAATAATAATTATATTATGAATAATAAACAAGTTATAAATAAAGAACTTAAACTAAATCGCCGAAAGCTATTTTAGTTACTCCGGCGACGACGGTTGAGTGGCGTAGCTGTCAAAACAACACGTAAGCAGATCATTCGTGTTTAAACTATTTGGTCCATCTCTGTTTATTATGGACCAATTCATGCGTAATTCTTCTAAATCGTAGTGACATTAGGAAGGTATCTTATTGTTTTAGTATTTTTTGAATTAATTATATTAGTTTGCCAGTACGTCAGTCTTTGTATATAAACGTAATTTGGGGCTATAAGTTCCTTCCTAGCGGGGTTGGTAGTTCCCCGGAACAACTTACCTCAATTGACTTTCAATTGTATCTAAAATTCTTATGACCATTTTTCTTTTATTTTAAAGATGCGAAACTACTAACGTAAGACAGAGAGAGGTAAAACCTCCGAGACATTATTGCGTCAAGTTGCAGATGCTGTCAACAAGGAGGGAAACCTGTTAAAACTGGCAAGACAACTGGAAATCTGGTACATGACGTCATCGCGATTTGTTACAAAATTGAATGCTGGCAGGATTCCTACCATAGGTTATAAATCAAGGCTAGTGTTTATCTTGGAACAACAAAAAGGGTTAGTTAACTACATTTTAAAGTGTTCCTCAATATACTTTGGTCTTCTGTCACCCGAAGGGGTGCGAAAACTCGCATATGAATGTGCAGTAAAATTTTCGTTTGAAAACATTCCCCCTTCATGGCACATGATACGAAAAACTGGAGCTGACTGGTTCACTGGATTTATGAAGAGAACCCCCATTTTGTCGATCAGAACCCCAGTAGCAACTGGTGCAGAACGTGCATCTGCATTTAACAGACATAATGTGAATGAATTTTTCACTAAACTCGGTGAAATTCTACTCAAATATAAATCGACACTATCCAGAATCTGGAACCTGGACGAGACTGGAGTAACGACTGTGTTGAAGCCAAGGAAGATAGTAGCCCAAAAAGGTACAAAACAGGTCGGTGCTAAAGTGTCTGCTGAACCAGGCACTTTGGTAATTGTTGACCTAGCAGCCATCTCACAGCCGTGTGCCGCGGGAAACACGATACCGCCAATGTTTGTGTTTCCACGTTTAAAGTATAAAGACTTGTTTTTACGGGATGGGCCCTCCAGTCAGTCGGGCCTGGATACAATTCGGGAAGGATAACTGCTTTACTAAGCCCACCACAGAAGAACCGGTGTTGCTATTATTAGACAATCACTACTCACACATTGACATTAACGTAGCTGAAAAAGCAAAGCTAACTCCATCATTATGTTGTCATTTCCCCCTCACTCATGCTGCGACCTCTGGATGTTGGCGTCAACGGGCCTTTTAAAACATTCTGTGGCAAAACCCAATATAACTGGCGCCGTAACAACCCGGGAAAAACGATGTCAATAATTGTTAAAACAGCATGGCCTTTAGCAGCAACCCAAAATATCATAAACGCATTAAAAAAAAACAGGAATATGCCCTTATAACTTCGTGATAGATCGGCCATTATTAGAAGCTACTTCATCTCAAGCTGTGTCAAATAAAGAGCCCTTCCAGCCTTCTAGCTGCTCAATTTCAGTACAATATGATTACTAGCCAGGACCATCCAACATTCAAATATTATCACAGAATTATGTGCAGCCGGAGCCTTTGACGATTTTAATATCAATGCAGAATGATAAACAACTTCATCATTCGACATCAAATCAGAGTAATCTTCATCAGACTGACTCTTCTACACTGAATACTGACCAAGAGTTTTAATTTACGCCAGCAAAGACAAATGCTACAGCTGTGTTTAACCCAGAAATTTTAAAACCTTGACCAAAGACACCACCAAGTTTGCGGAAATCTACAAAACGACATATGAGAAAGGCGGCTATATTAACTGACACGCCAGAAAACATGTTGGAAATAAAACCCGTCAATTTTATGATAAAACTTCATGTTATTTGAAAATCGGAACTTCCAGCCCCGCTCTCCTCTGCCAATGAGACTTATTTAATACTAAAATTCTGCTGTCTGTCCATCCGCGTGTCACAGGCATGGAGTATAGAGGTAAGGAGGACAATCTCCCACAGGAGAATAGTTGGAAATGTGTCCATCTGTAAGCAGTAAATAACAGTTCAAAAACTCTCCACAACAGCGCTCGAGTAGCCACAGGTTATGATAAATCACCGTAAAAATACGTTGACTGATTTCTTTCTTTCAATAAAGGTATGATGAAAATAAAAATTTTGAAAGCAATAAAATAATTATGGTGAAAGTATGTGCAATAAAAAAATTATAAAAAGTTCTTTAAAATTTAGGTTGTAGCTACAGTGGCGGCACCCTTATTTAACCCTTAATAAGGCAAAGGGATATTATTCCCCACATGGATCTCTTTTAAATTATTTTTTTTTCGTATAAGATAAACAATATCTTGAACGCGGCCAATACTTAATATGGATTTTTTTAATTTTTTTACTGGCAACACTCACGGTAGTAATGTCAAATCGCGCCTAAAGAATCATGCCACCATACACACGATCTTTAACAGGACGCGTCTACCAAAAAATTGTAAAAAATTTTTACTGAAAAAAAAAAAAAAAAAATATAGATAATTTTTTTCCTTACTAAAAAAAAAAAAAATAAAGATAAAAAAAAAAAAAAATAAAAAAAAAAAAATAAAATAAAAACAACAAATAAAGGAAAAAAAAAAACGGACAAGAAAAAAAAAAAAATTAACTTTTTAAAAACACCAAATAAAAAAAAAAAAAATTTTCTCTATTAAAAAAAATATGAGAAAAAAAAAAAAAAAAAAAAACCCAAAAAAAAAACAAAATTTCAAAAATAAAAAAAAAAAATGTCAAAGTCGTGACGTTGTAGTAAGCAAAAAACGGTTGTTCTCGATCATTCAAGAGAAAAAAACGAAAATTCTTTACAAAAAATCCAGTAAGTAGATTATGGTTTTTGTTTTGAGTAAAGAGACTATCCTAGCGCTATTTTATATAGTTTTCTATTTAAATCTAGTAATATCTACGTAAAATTGTTTGAAAAACCAAGTGACAAAATAATTCCCCTTGCCCAATAACCGTAACATAATTTCAGACTTCAAAAAAAGGAGATTATCAGTTTGATTCGTATATATGTAATTTAATTCTTTCAATAAAGGTATGATGTTTGTCAAAATTTCATAAAAGTGTGTAACTTTTTTTACCTATTCTTTTGAAGTCAATGTTGAATTACTTATTGCCCTCACTTATTACTCAACTTTGAGAATGTATGTACGTATCTTAGATATATGATTAGTCTTCGCCTTGCTATGAAGTCATTATCATCATTACAGCCCTTCACAAGTCCACTGCTGAACATAGGCCTCCCCCAAGTAATGCCACAAAGCACGGTCTTGAGCCACCTGCATCCATCGACTTCCTGCATGTCTTACCAGGTCGTCACTCAATCTAGTGGGGGGTCGGCCTACACTACGCCTACCGGTACGAGGCTGCCCCTCGAGGACCTTTCTTCCCCATCAGTTATCGGTTCTTCGAGCTATATGGCCGGCCCATTGCCGCTTCAGCTTACTAATCCGTTGAGCTATGTCGGTCATTCTGGTTTTGCTGCAGATATCCTCATTTTTGAGTCTATCACGCAGAGAAACTCCGAGCATAGCCCTCTCCATAGCTCGCTGAGCGACCTTGAGCGTCCTCATATGGCCAGCAGTGAAGGATCACGTCTCAGATCCATAAGTCATCAATGGCAACACGCACTGGTTGTACACTTTAGTTTTCAGAGATTGACGTATACCTGACGAGGAGATGTGTCGTAATTTCCCGAACGCTGCCCAGCCGAGTTGAATCCGTCGATTAACCTCTCGGTCGAAGTTGGACTTACCTAGTCGGACTATTTGTCCCAGGTAAACGTACTCGTCAACAACTTCGAGCATAGTGCTCCCGACAACTACCGGCATAGGTGTGACATGGACATTAAACATGATCTTTGTTTTGTCCACGTTCATCTTAAGACCTATCCGTTGGGAGACACCATTGAGGCCCTCAATGGCCATAGTGCTAAGGTCCTCCAGCGATTCTGCCATAAGGACTATATCGTCGGCAAATCGAAGGTGAGTGATGTACTCGCTATAGATGTTAATACCGTATCCTTTCTAGTCCAGTAGCTTGAAAACGTCTTCCAACGCAGCGGTGAAGAGTTTCGGGGATATAACGTCACCCTGTCTTACACCTCAGTGGATAGGTTTCGAACTCTGGTTCTGTATTTGGATAGCCATCGTAGCCCTACTGTACAAACACTTCAGCACTTCGATATACCGACAATCAACTTGGTACCGCTGAAGGGAATGTAGCACCGCCCAAATTTCGACGGAATCAAAGGCTTTCTCATAGTCCACATATGCCAGGCAAAGTGGCAGATTGTACTCTTCGGTCTTCTGTACAATCTGCCGCAGGGTATGTATGTGGTCTATGGTACTGAAGCCTTTTCGGAAACCGGCTTGTTCGGGAGGCTGGAAATCGTCGAGTCTGCTATGAAGTGAAGACCAATAATTTATCTAAGGCACGTATGTATCAAATATAAAATTTTCATTCTGTAAGGCATTTTATGTGATTTTTCTGTATCATTTCATTTATTTATAGGTAGAATCTGAAAACAATGAGCTAAGAAAATTATAAGCACCCGGCAATTAGGGGCCATAGTAGACAATATGTCAGATTTATCTGATCTTGTGTGACTCAGATGATGACACGTATTATCAGACGGCACCTGTAAGCAGTCCAGCAGATGATCTAAATCTTCCTGAAGATGCCACTATTGAAGTCAACTTGAAAAAATATTTGGTGATTCTGCAATCGTAAACGAAAAAATTGATGATTAAGAAAATTATTCAGTGAGTTCCTTGATGAATATTTTAGATACAGAACAATTATCTGACGATCCACCAATACAGGTTACAAATGAATATATGTCACAGGAAAAATCTGGCGATCCACCAATACAGGTTACAAATGAATATATGCACAGGAAAAATCGCGCCACCAATACAGGTACAAGAAATCACAGGAAAAATCTGGCGACCACCAATACAGGTTACAAATGAATATATGGAAACACAGGAAAAATCTGGCGATCCACCAACACAGGTTACTAATGAACACATGGAGACACATGAAGAATGGAGACAAGAAGCATATGTCAGCGAAAGAGACATTGAAATTCAAGAATGTTTGGATGAGATTTGAGAATCTCCGATTAATTATATTCCAAGACACGCTGCAAATCCGGAACCATCAATAGGTAATGATACTGTGACTCATAATCAGGGCCACTTAGGACCAAACAGAAGCAGAACTATTAATGCAGCTATATCAAGACCCCCACGAAAGTGGGAAATAGATTAAGAAATACATAATGCTCCAGAATTCACAAATCCAATCACACCAGCATCCGTTTTTAATCATAAAACACGCCCTATCGATATCTTTGAATTTTTTTTCCGGACTACTTAGTAGAACTTCTAGTACATCAGACCAATATACACATACAAGTCAGAAAAACAACCATCAGTATACACCAGTTTCCGGAGAAGAAATTAAGGCTTATCTTGGTATATTAATTATGATGGGCCTAAATCCGTTGCCTGATATGGAATTACATTGGTCTAATGACCCATTCTACAACAATTAAGAAATTTCGCAAGTCATTACCATTAAAAGATTTAAGAAAATCACTGAAAATCTCCATATAAATAATAACGAAGAGGAGCCAAGAAGAGACTCGCCTAATTACGATAAACATTTCAAGTTGAGGCCGATGATAACTGAACTTAATAAAAATTTTTCAGAAGAGATGTATAATTCGAGCCAGCAATAAATCGATGAATGCATGGTCAAATATAAAGGCCGATCAAGCCTTAAGCAGTATATGCCAAAGAAACCAATTAAACGTGGGTTTAAGGTTTAGGCACGTTGTGACGCAAAAACAGGCTACCTTTATAAATTTGAAGTTACAGCGGTAAAGGTGACAGCATAGAAGAAGGTCTGGGATATAATGTCGTGAATAAACTCTCGCTTGACTTGCCTGAAAATACGCTTCTAGCGTTTGATAATTTTTTTACGGACTATAATATATTAGAAGCGATGTATAACAAAAAATTTTTTGCTGTAGGGACTGTAAGAGCTGATAGAAAAGATCTTCCAGACATTTTAAAGAAACAGCAACCAAAAAATTTGAGACTTGCAAAGAATGAGTTTGAGGCTTTAACAGCAAAGCCCATTAGCGCTATTAAGTGGCTCGATACCAGAGACGTAACCCTTCTAACAATAGCACACCATCCTACTAATACCGTCTTTGTAAAAAGGACACAAAAAGATGGCTCAAAAAAACATGTTCTCTGTCCCAAGGCAATTGCAGATTACACTCTTACCATGGGTGGAGTTGATCGCTTCGATCATTTTAGATCATCATATCCTATTAATCGGAAATGTAGAAAATTTTGGATGCGATTATTCTTTTTCATATATGATGCGGCAGTTATAACTACAACAACATCATACATCAACAGTTATATAACTTACAGCACTGTTCACGTTGTGAACACCCATTCTCACAGAGAATTCAGACTGAGACTTGCTCGTGAGCTCATTTCAAACTTTTCATCCAAAAAAAATCGCCCAGTTGTATTCAAAAACAAGAAGGGCTCCAACTTCGGGGTACCTGATGAGATCCGTCTCCTCAATGTTGATGTTCATCTCCCAGATGAAGGTAGCACTTACAAAAGGTGTCGATTCTGTAGCACCAGGAATAAAGAAAAACGAACAAAAATCGTATGTTCCACCTGTGCTGTTGCACTTTGTGCAAAGAAATGCTTCAAATTGTTTCACGAAACTTTACCGCAGGAATAATTAGAAATATCTTTTACTTGTATAAACTTTTGATAAACAATGATGGCATATGCTTGCATTTTTATTTTGGTATTTTGGTAAAATATTACAATTTATTAAAAAATAAATTTCTTAAGAGGCGAAACCCGGGTGAAGTGCCAGTATTTCTATACAACCAAACCATGGTAAAATTGTGTAGCCAAAACAGGCAAGGGGAATTATTTTCCCACGTAAAACGTGAGTGAGACTGAGTGCACAAGCATAATCGGGCAAAGGGAAATAATTTCCCACGAAAAAAAAAACACGTCCCCCCCCACCACTCTCGCATATATTTTTGGCATCTATGGCATCAACCTACACTAAATCCTTTATCAGATTTAAATTCGATCTTTTAAGCGAGCTCGCGCCTTATTAAGGTTTAACGCTTTCCTACGGACTTTTTTATACAGACTATACTCCTTATCTCTACACTACATAGTCACAGGGTCAGCACCGTGAGCACACTTGTGATTATTTCAATCAATTAGATTTGTCATTATGGTCACGTGACCGATTTTCCAGTGAGCTAATTGGGAGAGATAATTACTCACAGTCACTCTTGACGATGAAGTAAAGTATATCTGTCACTGTAAACAAAATGGCCGACCTAGCGGTTCATTTTACGCATATTGAGATAGATGACTTTGACAGATGCAACGTCAAAAACGTTAGAATTTAGTTAAATGTACGTTCTATTTTACGTTTAGTTAGTGATTTAAGCAATATTTTTAAAAAATAATTAAAAATACTTCGATGCTGCTCCGGCAGCAAAAATCGCATGGGGCTGCTTCCGATAAACCCTATGACCCCCCCTACAGTGACAGAATCCTCAAATTTAGGCAACTTACTTTCAAACCCAACCCAAATATAACTCTGAAACAGAAATATCTTGCTAGTGCAGAAGAATCCAATGGTTGCAACAAATCGTTGAAAATATCAATACAGGACTAGAGTGTTGGCTTTGAAACTCTGAAGTCTGAACCGTAAAAACCTTGTGATTCCAGTAGAACCCAAAGTTAGCAGCGAACCGTTTGACACTGTACATGAACAGAAAACTTATTTTGAAGAACTACTCTTACAAAAATTTAAACGTGGTTATAGTTTATCAAAACCACAGCGCAAAAAAGTCTAGGCGCTGAAGTCATCACCCACGACGACGTAATAGAAAGGAAAAAAGAACAAAAGAATAAACTGATACCAAAAAAGAATATAAAAAAATAAAAGAAAAATGAACAAGTAAAGATGACTGGTAAACCTGATGCAAATCCAAAACAAGCCAAAGAACAAGATGAAGTTGTTTATTTAAGACACATTTGAAAAAATTATACTCAGCAGCAACGATTTATAGCAAAGACAAATGATCTACCGCATTGCTTACAGATACAAGAATCTGATTCAAAAAAAATTATGTTCTTTCTAGTGTGTTAATAAAAAGTCAATACACCAAAAGATAAGAAGAAAGAAGGAAAGAAAGATATAAAAATGATTATTTGAAAGAAAAAGGATACCGTTTTCTTAACATTTTAGACTGATAAATGAAAGTTTATTCCATTAAGAAATGAGTCTAGTGTTTAGTACTAAGGCCAATTTAACAAATCTAAATCACCCTTAGATTTAAATTTCAATGACTAGAAGTCATTAACTTCGTTTTTAAGCTTTGAAAAAATATCCGTTGTTATTTTTTTACAACTTTTGGTAGATTTTATTAATAAATATATTATTAAACTTTTTAATGTTGTTTTTTTTTCTTAATTTATAATACTTACGATGATAATATATTCAATGGAACCAAAACTAATTCAATGATTTCTCAAAGTTGTGTGGATGTCAATGAGTTCTTGCAGTAAGCCCTACTACGCAAACATTTGTAAGGTCAATCGGTCGACAAACATTGTAAATTAAATCGCACACAGGAGCGCGCGTACGCGTAGTTCTTGCCCATAAATAACATTCAATTTAGGATAATTTCAAATAAAAGTAGAAGCCTTATTTACTCGTATTTTTAAAAACTGCATTAACGGGATATCATCATTTATATATTTGAACTTAAGTTTAAAATTTGGCTACTCTTTGAAAAATAACCCTGTATAAAGATGTATATTAATAATCATTAATTTATTACGATCTTAATTTATATTGTCACAATATTAATTGTAATGTGATAATGTTGAACATTTTGAAGGGTTAAACACCAATCACATTGAGTATATTATTTCCAGACATTAATTACGCCGTCTGCTGATGAGCTGACTAGATAACATTTGTTCCCTTCAACCATGGTGATATCTGTGATGGGTGCAGTGTGATAGAATGTACGGGACTCCACTGTGCGGTAGACGTTGTCCTCTTGTATGGAAATAGGTGCACTTGGATTAAGTTTTGAACATTCTTGGATTACTGTTGTTCCATCAATTATTCTACTTCTGAAAACAATAAAAATAGAAAGAATTATACTTATTTTTTATTAAAAAATGAAACTTGTATTTCGATACATATTTCTATAATCTCATTGGCAGTAGTACACAGACAGTCCTAGTAGTTATTATTAGTAACCCTTATAGTACAAATAAACATTGACAAAAATGACTGCCTCGTTGGTCTAGTGGTTGTATTAGTGCGACTGCCGATCGTGAGGTCCTGGGTTCGAATCCCGGGTCGAGCCAAAAAATTCAATTATTGAATTTTTTCGTCAAGAAGTTCTCAGTAGCTGCCCGGAGTCAGGAAGTTGGCGGTGGCTCACCCCCGTGCCTCGGAAAGCACGTAAAGCCGTTAGTCCTGCGCCTGATCCGGTCGTGTCGGCTTACCGTCCCATCGGATTATGAGAGTGAGGGAATAGAGTAAACACTTGGGCACTATAGTCCTACCCTGCGCCGATGGCTAGTCTCCGTTGAGGCAGGCCGCCGTGTCCGAAATTCGGTCTGAAGGACATTATTAAACATTCTCATATCATTCATTCTCATAATACACTTCCAAATAAAATGCCTCGATTTATTTTGGTTTTCTTTTCTTTTTGATCGTTTGAGAGTCGATATCCTCGCAGTGGTGATGCTTCTCTACACTACATTTTTAGGTTTTGTATATTTAGATGGAAAGCCCGCTGTCAATCAGTCGGTAGATTACACAAGGTCTGTATTATTTTGTATAATTATATTCCCCTGTCATTATTTTAACAATGTTTGTTAACTAAAAAGTTTTAAAAATTTTCTTTTAACAAACATTGTTATTCATTATGCCAATTCAACATAGAACCAATAGTGAAAAAGGCTGGGTGAGAAAGTAGCTACCACCATATAAATGAGCTTGGCAACATTACACCCCGTCCTGTTAAGGGACTGTTAGAAGAAAGAAAATGGCGAAGTGCATCGCGATTAAATAATATATAATCGTATTAATATAATATATATAATTCGAGTAAAACTATGCAATTTTCTTACACATTCTCATCAGCCAGTTAATAACCTACTGGTAGACATGGACCGTAACGGTATAATACCCACTACCCCATATCGTACCATGTCTTACGAAGCGACAGAGGGAAACCAATCAGGAGATGGGCAGCAGCATATTCATAATAACATCTAAGAAATAAAATACTGCGGTTGCCAAACCGCTTGCCAAGCGTGGCAAACATGGTAAATATTCCCCTGTGAGGAGGGAGGCCTATGTTCAGCAGTGGACTTTAATAGGCTGTAACGGGTTAACGGGGCCCTTACCGTTAGGTAGCGGACATGGGTCTATTCCGTAAAAGGGATAGATTAGGTTCAACTTGTGTTGTGTGTACAATTTTAACATCTGCTTCCCTTGAAGACAGTCATACCATCATCTGTCCGAATTCAAAATATCTAAATTCTAAATATTTCTCTAAATTCGCTTTTAAGACACCACTCGGATAAAGTCGACGGACTCTAATACCGCCATTACACGGCGGTTATACCACACAAATCATATCGTTACTTGCCTATATTTAACGGCTCCAGGTGAGGAACGCAGCTGGTCCCCGGGAGCGTGGACGAGGACGTACGAGTCCTCAGGATGTTCCAAGTCCCAGTACCGGATGCGCTGGTCCGATCCACCCGTCACCAAGAAACGGGAACCCTCCCGAGTGCCGCAGTACGCAGAGCTCATGTAGTGAGAGGCCTATGATTTAATAATTTCTTGATAAATCTTGTGTGAACGTTTTGAGTCTTCAAATGTGTATCGTTACACGTACAGTATGTTTTCTATTTATGCTTTAGATATTATTATATTAGTTAGAAACAGATACAAAATTCTAGTGAACTTTGTGGTCATTCCAAAAGATTCTTCTTTGGTTAGCAAAATCTTTGTCACTATTATACTCGTACTGTATAGTGCACGTGTGTATATACATTGTACACGTGTAAATGTGTGCTTATATGCAAGTGTAGATGTGTGCAGTGTGTACGAGTGTGCATGTGTGGGAGTGTATGCGTGTGACGTGTGAATGTGTTCACGTGTACAATGCGATAGGTGACAACTAATAATAGGAATATCAATAACCTCGATCTGTTAAATAGATACCACTTGAAAAGTACGGCTTGCAAAGAAAATTAATTTGCGTATTAATAGCACTATTTTTCACTTCATTTAACCGAGTCTTAGTATTAAGAAATAGGTGTAAAATCTATGTCATAATTATTTTTAAAAATAATTTAAAACTGATTTTTGAATAAATATTATATTTTTAATTATACTATAAAACGTCCAACAAACAAATCCATGTTCTACTTTTATAGCGTAAAACAGCAGTGATGATGATTACTCAGACGGTGATGCAGAATGAGAGCTATCTTATGCTCATCAGATGTTTGCTGGTTGGAATTAAGGTAAAGTTATTGTTATGAAGCCACTCAGTGTTGTCTTGCGTTAAAGTTGCGTTTTGAGTAAAAGTTTTCTGGCTTCTAATATATGTATATGCATAAAATAATTTTTTTAAACATTAATAACTTTTTTGTACTTCTATTTTAAGGAATATCCGTAGTTTAGTTTATTCCTTTTTAATCTAATCAATTAAAGTATAACAAATATTTCAGAAAGAAATATAAATCTCTACATTTTTCTAAAAAAATTCTCCCGCTATGAAATCTTTAAAATATTTTACTTTATTTCAGTATCAGTCTTTATATAAGTGACGCCGCCCTGATGGCAGAAAAAGTTGTGGATGCCCTCATTAAATGCAAAATTCAGATTAAAACTTTTTTTGTACAAGGTTCTTTTATAAATAACCTTATACAAAAAAGTTCTGTTTTCTCACCCTACCTAACTGGTTCAAATTGATAGATAAGAAGTCACAATATGGCGCAAGGTGATTCCTATTGTTATTGGGATAGCATTGTGCGTGTGTACGGACCGGCGCAGAGTAGTGCAGCGGCTGGTGCGCGTTGGTGCAGGGCCACAGCGCGTGCGTGCGCTGCGTGGTGCACTCCAGGCACCAGTAGTTGTGTGTGGACGCGTGTGGAGGTGTGCGTGTGTACGGACCGGCGCGGAGTAGTGCAGCGGCTGGTGCGCGTTGGTGCAGAGGCCACAGCGCGTGCGTGCGCTGCGTGGACTCCAGGCACCAGTAGTTGTGTGTGGACGCGTGTGGAGGTGTGCGTGTGTACGGACCGGCGCGGAGTAGTACAGCGGCTGGTGCGCGTTGGTGCAGGGCCACAGCGCGTGCGTGCGCTGCGTGGACTCCAGGCACCAGTATTTGTGTGTGGACGCGTGTGGAGGTGTGCGTGTGTACGGACCGGCGCGAAGTAGTGCAGCGGCTGGTGCGCGTTGGTGCAGGGCCACAGCGCGTGCGTGCGCTGCGTGGACTCCAGGCACCAGTAGTTGTGTGTGGACGCGTGTGGAGGTGTGCGTGTGTACGGACCGGCGCGGAGTAGTGCAGCGGCTGGTGCGCGTTGGTGCAGGGCCACAGCGCGTGCGTGCGCTGCGTGGACTCCAGGCACCAGTAGTTGTGTGTGGACGCGTGTGGAGGTGTGCGTGTGTACAGACCGGCGCGGAGTAGTGCAGCGGCTGGTGCGCGTTGGTGCAGGGCCACAGCGCGTGCGTGCGCTGCGGGGACTCCAGGCACCAGTAGTTATGTGTGGACGCGTGTGGAGGTGTGCGTGTGTACGGACCGGCGCGGAGTAGTGCAGCGGCTGGTGCGCGTTGGTGCAGGGCCACAGCGCGTGCGTGCGCTGCGTGGACTCCAGGCACCAGTAGTTATGTGTGGACGTGTGTGGAGGTGTGCGTGTGTACGGACCGGCGCGGAGTAGTGCAGCGGCTGGTGCGCGTTGGTGCAGGCGTCAGGTCCACAGCGCGTGCGTGCGCTGCGTGGACTCCAGGCACCAGTAGTTGTGAGTGGACGCGTGTGGAGGTGTACGTGTGTACGGACCGGCGCGGAGTAGTGCAGCGGCTGGTGCGCGTTGGGTGCAGGTCCACAGCGCGTGCGTGCGCTGCGTGGACTCCAGGCACCAGTAGTTGTGAGTGGACGCGTGTGGAGGTGTACGCGTGTAAACGGACCGCGCGGAGTAGTGCAGCGGCTGGTGCGCGTTGGTGCAGGTTCACCAGCGCGTGCGTGCGCTGCGCGGACTCCAGGCACCAGTAGTTGTGTGTGGACGCGTGTGGAGGTGTGCGTGTACGGACCGGCGCGGAGTAGTGCAGCGGTGGTGCGCGTTGGTGCAGGGTCACAGCGCGTGCGTGCGCTGCGTGGACTCCAGGCACCAGTAGTTGTGTGTGGACGCGTGTGGAGGTGTGCGTGTAAACGGACCGCCGCGGAGTAGTGCAGCGGCTGGTGCGCGTTGGTGCAGGGCCACAGCGCGTGCGTGCGCGTGCGCGGGACTCCAGGCACCAGTAGTTATGTGTGGACGTGTGTGGAGGTGTGCGTGTGTACGGACCGGCGCGGAGTAGTGCAGCGGCTGGTGCGCGTTGGTGCAGGGCCACAGCGCGTGCGTGCGCTGCGTGGACTCCAGGCACCAGTAGTTATGTGTGGACGTGTGTGGAGGTGTGCGTGTGTACGGACCGGCGCGGAGTAGTGCAGCGGCTGGTGCGCGTTGGTGCAGGGCCACAGCGCGTGCGTGCGCTGCGTGGACTCCAGGCACCAGTAGTTGTGTGTGGACGCGTGTGGAGGTGTGCGTGTGTACGGACCGGCGCGGAGTAGTGCAGCGGCTGGTGCGCGTTGGTGCAGGGCCACAGCGCGTGCGTGCGCTGCGTGGACTCCAGGCACCAGTAGTGGTCGGTGGACGCGTGTGGAGGTGTGTGTGTACGGACCGGCGCGAAGTAGTGCAGCGGCTGGTGCGCGTTGGTGCAGGGCCACAGCGCGTGCGTGCGCTGCGTGGACTCCAGGCACCAGTATTTGTGTGTGGACGCGTGTGGAGGTGTGCGTGTGTACGGACCGGCGCGGAGTAGTGCAGCGGCTGGTGCGCGTTGGTGCAGGGCCACAGCGCGTGCGTGCGCTGCGTGGACTCCAGGCACCAGTAGTTGTGTGTGGACGCGTGTGGAGGTGTGCGTGTGTACGGACCGGCGCGGAGTAGTGCAGCGGCTGGTGCGCGTTGGTGCAGGGCCACAGCGCGTGCGTGCGCTGCGGGGACTCCAGGCACCAGTAGTTATGTGTGGACGTGTGTGGAGGTGTGCGTGTAGACGGCCGGCGGGAGTAGTGCAGCGGCTGGTGCGCGTTGGTGCAGGGCCACAGCGCGTGCGTGCGCTGCGGGGACTCCAGGCACCAGTAGTTATGTGTGGACGTGTGTGGAGGTGTGCGTGTGTACGGACCGGCGCGGAGTAGTGCAGCGGCTGGTGCGCGTTGGTGCAGGGCCACAGCGCGTGCGTGCGCTGCGTGGACTCCAGGCACCAGTAGTTATGTGTGGACGTGTGTGGAGGTGTGCGTGTGTACGGACCGGCGCGGAGTAGTGCAGCGGCTGGTGCGCGTTGGTGCAGGTCGCGCGTTGGTGCAGGTCCACAGCGCGTGCGTGCGCTGCGTGGACTTCAGGCACCAGTAGTTGTGAGTGGACGCGTGTGGAGGTGTACGTGTGTACGGACCGGCGCGGAGTAGTGCAGCGGCTGGTGCGCGTTGGTGCAGGTTCACAGCGCGTGCGTGCGCTGCGTGGACTCCAGGCACCAGTAGTTGTGTGTGGACGCGTGTGGAGGTGTGCGTGTAAACGGACCGCCGCGGAGTAGTGCAGCGGCTGGTGCGCGTTGGTGCAGGGCCACAGCGCGTGCGTGCGCTGCGGGGACTCCAGGCACCAGTAGTTATGTGTGGACGTGTGTGGAGGTGTGCGTGTGTACGGACCGGCGCGGAGTAGTGCAGCGGCTGGTGCGCGTTGGTGCAGGGCCACAGCGCGTGCGTGCGCTGCGTGGACTCCAGGCACCAGTAGTTATGTGTGGACGTGTGTGGAGGTGTGCGTGTGTACGGACCGGCGCGGAGTAGTGCAGCGGCTGGTGCGCGTTGGTGCAGGTCGCGCGTTGGTGCAGGTCCACAGCGCGTGCGTGCGCTGCGTGGACTTCAGGCACCAGTAGTTGTGAGTGGACGCGTGTGGAGGTTTTGTGTACGGACCGGCGCGGAGTAGTGCAGCGGCTGGTGCGCGTTGGTGCAGGTTCACAGCGCGTGCGTGCGCTGCGTGGACTCCAGGCACCAGTAGTTGTGTGTGGACGCGTGTGGAGGTGTGCGTGTAAACGGACCGCCGCGGAGTAGTGCAGCGGCTGGTGCGCGTTGGTGCAGGGCCACAGCGCGTGCGTGCGCTGCGGGGACTCCAGGCACCAGTAGTTATGTGTGGACGTGTGTGGAGGTGTGCGTGTGTACGGACCGGCGCGGAGTAGTGCAGCGGCTGGTGCGCGTTGGTGCAGGGCCACAGCGCGTGCGTGCGCTGCGTGGACTCCAGGCACCAGTAGTTATGTGTGGACGTGTGTGGAGGTGTGCGTGTAAACGGACCGCCGCGGAGTAGTGCAGCGGCTGGTGCGCGTTGGTGCAGGTCGCGCGTTGGTGCAGGTCCACAGCGCGTGCGTGCGCTGCGTGGACTTCAGGCACCAGTAGTTGTGAGTGGACGCGTGTGGAGGTGTACGTGTGTACGGACCGGCGCGGAGTAGTGCAGCGGCTGGTGCGCGTTGGTGCAGGTTCACAGCGCGTGCGTGCGCTGCGTGGACTCCAGGCACCAGTAGTTATGTGTGGACGTGTGTGGAGGTGTGCGTGTGTACGGACCGGCGCGGAGTAGTGGAGCGGCTGGTGCGCGTTGGTGCAGGTCGCGCGTTGGTGCAGGTCCACAGCGCGTGCGTGCGCTGCGTGGACTCCAGGCACCAGTAGTTGTGTGTGGACGCGTGTGGAGGTGGTGCGGGACCGCCGCGGAGTAGTGCAGCGGCTGGTGCGCGTTGGTGCAGGGCCACAGCGCGTGCGTGCGCTGCGGGGACTCCAGGCACCAGTAGTTATGTGTGGACGTGTGTGGAGGTGTGCGTGTGTACGGACCGGCGCGGAGTAGTGCAGCGGCTGGTGCGCGTTGGTGCAGGGCCACAGCGCGTGCGTGCGCTGCGGGGACTCCAGGCACCAGTAGTTATGTGTGGACGTGTGTGGAGGTGTGCGTGTGTACGGACCGGCGCGGAGTAGTGCAGCGGCTGGTGCGCGTTGGTGCAGACCCGGCGTGCGTGCGCTGCGGGGACTCCAGGCACCAGTAGTTATGTGTGGACGTGTGTGGAGGTGTGCGAGTGTACGGACCGGCGCGGAGTAGTGCAGCGGCTGGTGCGCGTTGGTGCAGGGCCACAGCGCGTGCGTGCGCTGCGTGGACTCCAGGCACCAGTAGTTATGTGTGGACGTGTGTGGAGGTGTGCGTGTGTACGGACCGGCGCGGAGTAGTGCAGCGGCTGGTGCGCGTTGGTGCAGGTCGCGCGTTGGTGCAGGTCCACAGCGCGTGCGTGCGCTGCGTGGACTTCAGGCACCAGTAGTTGTGTGTGGACGCATGTGGAGGTGTACGTGTGTACGGACCGGCGCGGAGTAGTGCAGCGGCTGGTGCGCGTTGGTGCAGGTTCACAGCGCGTGCGTGCGCTGCGTGGACTCCAGGCACCAGTAGTTGTGTGTGGACGCGTGTGGAGGTGTGCGTGTAAACGGACCGCCGCGGAGTAGTGCAGCGGCTGGTGCGCGTTGGTGCAGGGCCACAGCGCGTGCGTGCGCTGCGGGGACTCCAGGCACCAGTAGTTATGTGTGGACGTGTGTGGAGGTGTGCGTGTGTACGGACCGGCGCGGAGTAGTGCAGCGGCTGGTGCGCGTTGGTGCAGGGCCACAGCGCGTGCGTGCGCTGCGTGGACTCCAGGCACCAGTAGTTATGTGTGGACGTGTGTGGAGGTGTGCGTGTGTACGGACCGGCGCGGAGTAGTGCAGCGGCTGGTGCGCGTTGCATGCAGGGCCACAGCGCGTGCGCGCGCTGCGTGACTCCAGGCACCAGTAGTTGTGTGGACGTGGAGGTGTGCGTGTACGGACGGCGCGGAGTCAGCGGCTGGTGCGCGTTGGTGCAGGGCCACAGCGCGTGCGTGCGCTGCGTGGACTCCAGGCACCAGTAGTTGTGTGTGGACGCTGGAGGTACACCGATGCAGGGTGGTGCGCGTTGGTGCAGGTCGCGGTTGGTGAGGTCCACAGCGCGCGTGTCGTGGATCAGGCACCGAGTAGTTGTGAGTGGACGTGATGACACAGGTTGGGGGGTTCAAGCGGGCGTGCGCTGCGCGGACTCCAGGCACCGTGTGTTGACGTGTGGAGTGGGTAAACGGGGGGGCGGTTGGTGCAGGGCCACAGCGGCGGCGTGGGGGACCCAGACCAGAGTGATGACGGGGAGTGCAGCGGCTGGTGCGCGTTGGTGCAGGGCCACAGCGCGTGCGGCGCTGCGTGGACTCCAGGCACCAGTAGTTATGTGTGGACGTGTGTGGAGGTGTGCGTGTGGGACCGGCGCGGAGTAGTGCAGCGGCTGGTGCGCGTTGGTGCAGGTCGCGCGTTGGTGCAGGTCCACAGCGCGTGCGTGCGCTGCGTGGACTTCAGGCACCAGTAGTTGTGAGTGGACGCGTGTGGAGGTGTACGTGTGTACGGACCGGCGCGGAGTAGTGCAGCGGCTGGTGCGCGTTGGTGCAGGTTCACAGCGCGTGCGTGCGCTGCGTGGACTCCAGGCACCAGTAGTTGTGTGTGGACGCGTGTGGAGGTGTGCGTAAACGGACCGCCGCGGAGTAGTGCAGCGGCTGGTGCGCGTTGGTGCAGGGCCACAGCGCGTGCGTGCGCTGCGGGGACTCCAGGCACCAGTAGTTATGTGTGGACGTGTGTGGTGTGCGTGTGTACGGACCGGCGCGGAGTAGTGCAGCGGCTGGTGCGCGTTGGTGCAGGGCCACAGCGCGTGCGTGCGCTGCGTGGACTCCAGGCACCAGTAGTTATGTGTGGACGTGTGTGGAGGTGTGCGTGTAAACGGACCGCCGCGGAGTAGTGCAGCGGCTGGTGCGCGTTGGTGCAGGTCGCGCGTTGGTGCAGGTCCACAGCGCGTGCGTGCGCTGCGTGGACTTCAGGCACCAGTAGTTGTGAGTGGACGCGTGTGGAGGTGTACGTGTGTACGGACCGGCGCGGAGTAGTGCAGCGGCTGGTGCGCGTTGGTGCAGGTTCACAGCGCGTGCGTGCGCTGCGTGGACTCCAGGCACCAGTAGTTGTGTGTGGACGCGTGTGGAGGTGTGCGTGTAAACGGACCGGCGCGGAGTAGTGCAGCGGCTGGTGCGCGTTGGTGCAGGGCCACAGCGCATGCGTGCGCTGCGTGGACTCCAGGCACCAGTAGTTGTGTGTGGACGCGTTGGAGGTGTACGTGTGTACGGACCAGCGCGGAGTAGTGCAGCGGCTGGTGCGCGTTGGTGCAGGTCCACAGCGCGTGCGTGCGCTGCGTGGACTTCAGGCACCAGTAGTTGTGTGTGGACGCGTGTGGAGGTGTGCGTGTGTACGGACCGGCGCGGAGTAGTGCAGCGGCTGGTGCGCGTTGGTGCAGGGCCACAGCGCGTGCGTGCGCTGCGTGGACTCCAGGCACCAGGCCGCCGCGTCCCGCCCGCCTACCGCCCAAATGCGAGAAGTCGACCGCCCGAAACCCAGGATGCGCCGGACTCTCTCCGCTACAATAAATAAGTTTTAAAACTTGAGTATAAATTGTACTGTATTTTAAAAGTATGGGCTAATATTTCCAATATGGACCATCGATTTCAAAGCCCATATATTTTTTTTGTAGATAGTACTCACAAAAAGAAACCGTTTTGCAAAGTTTTAGATTGCGGAAACTTACAGTTTATGAGATATTTTTTTTAAACTTTTCATACAAATTGGCAAATAACACGCAATTACACCAATTACAAAATAAATTTGACAAATGATTGATGTCAAACGTCAGTTAGTGTAGGTTCCGAATATTTTGAAAGTATCGATACGTACTCGATACCAAGTATCGTATCAAAAGTATCAATACTACTTGGTATCGAGTACATTTCGTTAATTTTGGAGACGAAAAATTAGATGCATAGGTAGAGCTGATAAGTGCAATTATATATGTATATAAAGTAGAATAAAGTTTATTTAAGTTCCACCTTAGTACTTGTATTTCATTGTTTGCAACTTGTTTGTATTTCTTAATTAGTACAGCTTTTGTACTTGTATTTTATTGTTTGCAACTTGCTGTATTATCTTATTCTTACTACAATAAAGTGTTTACTTACTTATTTAATATCCAAAAAGTACCCAAAACCGAATTAGAGCACCCCACTATCCACGTGGTCTTGTCTGCCTTACCCCTAGAGTGTATATAAGAGCCCGGAGGCGCGGAGGGAGAGCAGTACCCGCCCGCCGTAGGGAAGTGCAGGCACCGAGATCGCCGTAGCGGCTGAGGCTGGTCGCCGAAGGCGACCAAAAAGCCGAAGCTGCGAAGGCGAGCTCAGGTGCCTGTGCTTTCCTACGCTAGGGCGGAGGGACTGCTCATCCCGCAGCGCCGGAGCTGCCACGGAGCGCCGGAACACGACTTCCCCTTCAACCCCCCCCCCATCTCACTTCCCCGCTACTAACCCACCACACCACTTCCCTGCTACTAACAACACACCCCCTCTCCTCCCATAAGCCCCTCCCTTTTCTTTATTTAATCTAGTTAATTTTAACCCTCCCACATATCCGCCCTCCATTTCACCAGACATATGGTAACGAGAATAATAATAAATAATATAATAAATTTTAACCATGAATATCACCAAAACCATGGGGTTCCGCAGGGTGGGGATTGCACAGGGGGTATTCATCGCTCCTCCCCCCTCCCACCCAAAAACCTCATATATCGATGATCCATATTGGAAAGTTAGTCTCCAAAATTAACGAAATGTACTCGATACCAAGTAGTATTGATACTTTTGATACGATACTTGGTATCGAGTACGTATCGATACTTTCAAAATATTCGGAACCCTACACTAATTGACGTTTGACATCAATCATTTGTCAAATTTATTTTGTAATTGGTGTAATTGCGTGTTATTTGCCAATTTGTATGAAAAGTTTAAAAAAATATATCTCATGAACCGTAAGTTTCCGCAACCTAAAACTTTGCAAAACGGTTTCTTTTTGTGAGTACTATCTACAAAAAATCGATCGTCCATATTGGAAATATTAACCAAAGTATGTAAACCAATCTGTCTCATAAAATTACATTAGTAGTTTTATTTGACTTTTCCATCATAGTCTTTTGCAAAAATAACGGGCACCTAAGCAAAGAACTAATTTTTATGTTACTATTAGATTGATGATTTTAGGAAGTTTTATATTTAGAGTTTTGGAAATTAATTTAAAAAAAAATATGCAAAGAATTGTTTATGTCAGTTTTATCATAACATTTTGATTAAATTAATGAAAAATAATGTAAAAGTTTAAAAACGCTAATAATTCCTACCCATACCCGCTTCGAGAGGGGGGCAAGGACGGGTTATGTCGACTCGCACAGACTAAAACCGTTTAAGAGCATTGTGTTCTACCTTCGTAGCATATTGTCAGAGCCACGGGAAGGCTTTCGCACTAATCCGTGACCGCACCATCACCAGCCGCCCCATGGCAGCCCCTCCTTAGGAGAGGACTACTTCTTAGTCAAGAAAACGTCAAAGAAATAAGATAATTCAATAGAAATAGACTAAACGTTACTTAGTCGATATTAACTTTCAAGAAATCGCGCCACAAAATGTACTAAAAATTTGTTCTTTAAAATCCAGCATCAGGCAAAAATCTGAATTTGGAACGTACTTTTTTAAATACCATCTCACTTTTATAACCGGCCAGTAACAAAATAAATAATAAGTAGAAAAAAAATCGAAATCTTCAGTCAGTCTTTTTGCAAATGAGTGTCCCCACGCCATGCGCCCAAAACTTCGATTAATTTTCAAGGTATCCTCCTACGTTTACGGTTTAAAATCAATACACTCACAATTAGGATGCCGTACAGACGTAATTGGAAGCTGGAATCTGAGATCCCACACGCAGACCGCACCACTGGAAGTTCCAACTGCCAAGTACCCGGCACTGTTTGCGTACAGGCAAGTGTACACGCCTTGCTTTAGATCGCCTTGTAGTTTCCACGCATTGCCTAAAAAACGAATCAACAACAAATGTAATTAGATTTTACTGCTGCACACTTCGATCAATGATTATACTAGATTAAGGATCAGGAACAAAAATAATTCGCTCAAGTGGCCACGTTTGCAAAAAAAATTTAAAAATATTAACAACTTCAGTTTATTATAAATCTTATCACTCAAACATACAGTTTAAATACCATCGCAAAATATGTTTATTTCAGTTAAGGATCCGCCAAGCAAGTCATTTCTAAAGTACACAAATATTTTCTCTAAAATGAAACTTAAAGTCTAAGTGATAAGGTTAAAAATATTATGTTAACAATTTCGTGCATACTCTATTTTATTCTTTGTATTACACTTCAATGTTCGTTAAAATGGCTATGATTGGACCATACTAATTTGAAATAAGACCACAAAAGTATTTAAAGTTACAGCCTATATACGTCCCACTGCTGGGCACAGGCCTCCCCTCATTTATTTATTATCATTAAAAGTATTTGTGGTCTTATATTTCGGGCCGCTAGTAGTATTATTGATCGAAGGCTGCACAGCATTCATTAATTACAACTTACTATTATTTCTTTACAACTTTTTATTACAGACTATATTCCACTGCAGATCATAGGTATTATTTCGTGTGTCGTACGTTGTACGGAGCGTGTAACTGTAACCTATATTTATTATATCATATTGAACTCCATATAGCTGATGCATATTCGACCTGTATTTATTAGTTTTATACAACGTTAAAAATGTGGTGGGATGTTTGAAGAAAGAACATGTCCACATGACAAATCCAAAAAGCTGAAAGGCTTTATTGGTTGTGTGTGCTACGTGTTCATTAAAGTGTAGCTTAGAGTTTAAATACAATCCTAGATCCCTGATTAAAGATACCGATCCCAACGAAACACATTTTAGTTAATACGTGTTAATGTAAATTTTTTTGGTTACTTATTTTTTATTGCTTCATATATATATATATATATATATATATATATATATATATATATATATATATATATATATATATATATATATATATATATATTTGCCATAGTTGCCTCTTGGTAGTAGATTTGGTAACCGCAGAATTAATTTAGACTTGTTATCAGGAAGATGTTGCTGCCCATTTCCTACTTCATTTCCCTCTGTCGCTTCTTAACACACTTACAGGACGATGAGGTAATGGATTTTCTTACTATTACACGGCGTTCAAAACACTGCTGCATGTATCTATCAATAAAATTTAGAATGTCATTCAACATTACAATTATTATTTAATTGTTAGCTATAAATTCTGGAACCGATGTTAAAAATAAAGAGTGTACAAAAATAAGACAGAAGGCTCGGAGGACCAATTTATTACCATGGCATGCCAGAAAACTCCCAAGGAAATTAGCAACTGTACTCTTATTTATAACTAATAAGTCAACAATTATCTTCGGAGTAGATGGAACAGTAAACAATCTGGATAGATCGTAAAAATTGAGTGACAACTGTTCGAGTGAACATCTGTCAGTTTTTTTAAAAGTAAACTGGAAATCTTTCTATTCTTTTATTTTTTTAATTTACACTATAGTATACTAGTCGGCTCGGCATACTTTATTGCGCCCTTTTCGGTAGGTGGTAAGATATGTAAATCCAGTGTCAATATTAAATTATATTAATTAATTTACTCGACTACAGCGACATTTATCGAGTCTAGATTTTATGATTTTCTTTTCCGGCAATAAAATAACATGTATTGTGAATATGGTCCATATGATCCAGTAATAACAAAACCAAATATACAGTGTGTTCCTCCGTAAAGTGCAACCTCGAAGTGGGTGAAACTAGACCATAAATAGCTACGCTAGTCACCTGGAGCTCGCAGGTCCCAGCCGATGACCGCGGCGCCGAGCGTGGCGTATGAGATGACGCCGGCGTGCACGCCGCCCGCGCACGCGCACGCCACGCAGCCGTCGGCACCCACGCCGCCGCCCGCCCCCGCACCCATGCCCACCTGCCGGCACTGCGACAGGGTCATGCGCGACGACCCGCTCTCCAGCCTGCATACACCGACAATACAACCATGATCAATGTTAACTTCCCATTTCAAAAGTTATTGTACTAGGCCCAATTTCGAAAGTCCACATTTCAACATATGAACATAAATTGAATATTTATGAATAAAATTATAAAAAAAAAATTGCCTTTATTTTCCTTTTTTAGCATTGCAATGAGCGCGCGTTTGTGCGTGTGTGTAACTTTAAGAAGCTGTAATTAATGAATGAATAGATCAACCATTACTAATTGAATGTGTCAGCTTTTCTCCAATAAATCCACGACAACTCACTTCGTTAACTGTTTAACCACTATGTTCGTTGTTTTATTTCACTCTTAAATTGTATATAATACTTTATAACACACTATACTTTACTTTCACAAAGAAGACTATATATTAATTTAACTTTACTCACAACCTTTAGAATCACCTTATTTCACAATAGACTTGACTATTATAACCTTCTCAGCACCACTGTTCGTCATCAACTGCGGCGAGCGTCAAGTGTACGCGCTTTTATATTGTGTCTATTGAATAATTAATTAATGTAGGTAGTTTGAAATAGATTCATATTAATATTAATTGTGAAGATTGCTTAGAAATATAGCATAATTATCTAACAAATGCCTCCTCCATCCGTTTTATCTATCCCTATCTTTTGCAGTTCGTGTCCACAGACTTACCGCTACTTGGGTACGAGTGCGTGTGCGCGTACGTGCGTGCGTGAGTGCTTGCGTGCGCGCCCCATTTTTATATATAATAATAAACAACTACCGTAATTTCAACCCAAAATTTGGATTCCTCATATTATTCAGGGTTATTTTTCAGACTAGCCAAATTTAATAATTAAGTTCAAAACATAAATATTAACACTTTTCGGTTTTTATAAATACGCGTAAATAAGGTTTCGACATTTATTAGAAAATATCCGAAAATGAATGTGATTTATGGGCAACAACTAATACATACACGCGCTCCTGTGTGCATGAATCAATGTACGGAGCTTTTACGTACTATGTACTTCCATAATTACACGCTTGATACTATGATTCTAACGGTACGTGTACACCAAAACCGATTTTGTCGGCCGATGGCGGACAGAACTACTCGGACGAGTAACTCGGACGTGTATGTGCTTACACTGCAACACTGTACCACTTGTGCCGACATTGTACGTTGCTGGTATTCTTTTCTATTTTTCAATATCCATAGTCGTTTAGGTAGATAACAACACCGACAGAAACGACAAAATAATTAAATTAAACTATAAATACACTCAATTTGCACTGTGGACGCCGGCAGGCGGGCGAGAAATCCCTACAAGTTCGGATTCGACGGTTGGTCGGCCGTTTTCGTGCGTTATCGGACGATGACGGTCGTGTTTGTGTGAGCGCTCTCTTTGTTTTACAAGTGTTCTGGATTAGGTGTATGCGAAGCGTTATTTTCCTTTCGTACTTTAATCGGGCTTAGGTAAGTCATAACAAATAAAATATATATTTCTTTTACATTTTAACCACGTGTGGGGTGGATGCTACGCAAATTAAGTTCTGCATTCCTCGAATTAAATATATTTTTTTACTCCCACACAAAAGACAGTTCAAAATACAAGTTTAGACTCCAGAGCGAGGGAAAGACATGGAGAATAAATGTAAACAGTTAGTTGTAGAAAACATAGTTAAGATAGGGAGCCGATGAAAGGTGGCTCGGTTTAAATTTCTGTCAGTGAGTGATTGGTGAAAGCACCGTAAGTTAACAGTACACATTCGTGTAATTTATTAAAAATGAATGCTATAATAATACAAACAAAAACTAGTGTAATGTACACAAGTAAATGATTCACATACTTAATTTTAATGCCAAATTTCAATATGTTAGTGTGACTAAATACAAAGTAAAATTAAGTAAAGTTAGGCAGGGCACAGGCCTCCTCTCACTTCTGAGAGGGTTTGAGACTCAATACAAACCTAAGAACAAATATGGATCCCTCCTGTGTGGCAGCTACGAGAGACTGCCCTCCCTCACAAGCTGCCAACGAAATGACAGGACCAGCGCTCCTATTATACATTGATTTAGACCTGTGAAATAAAAATTAAGTCTTAATTGTACAGACCGTTTAAGAGAAAGTTAAGTTCTTTACTTTTGTGTTTACTCAGGTCGGTAGTTGATAAAAGCGACTCTCTTCTTTGTGGGAAATACGCGCAGAGCTACGTCCTATATGCAACCTAAGTACGAGCATCACGCGCACATCCATGCACAAGCTACGCCGGAAAGAAGCTAATGTGTTTTTGTGTTGTTTCTTCTTTATTTAATATTGACAAAATTATTCTTAATATATTTGTCAGAATATATTAAGAATATTCAGCGATAATTATTTACCCCGTTTTCAGATTTCCATTATACTTTTTACATATAAATTTAGTCAAGATTTGATGATGGGATCCATGAGAAAATCATCTCTTCAATTTACAAAGCCATCTGCACAACTCATGCGCGAATAATTTTTAAACCGATAAGAGGGACCAACGAGCACATAGTCCATCTGATGATGGCCAATATTTATACCCGATTAAGAGTCTAAATGTAGATGCGTTATCACTCCTAAGAACTAATATAAAAAGGCCTAGTTACAGTAAGAAGGGTCTCTGGCTCACATCCATATGAAACACATTGATATTATACCGTCGTCATTTAAGTTCGTATTTTGTAAGGTCGTGATTATTCCTTGATGGAGCCTACCCAACGACATTTAGCATCGAAGACATAATACCAGTATGTCAAACAGCTACTATATGAAAAGGTTCACCAGAAGTGTTTTCAGAAATTACGACGTCATCATGATAATTATTTTCACTTATTATCACTTAAATATATGACACTAAACTATACGATACTAAAACCTCTTCACTTGTTTATTTTATACATTTACTGTGTAAATTAGAACAATAGAAATTATAACAATAAACAAAAATTATGACGATTGCTTTGAAAGAAATATTCAAAAATACCTCCTAATTTTTTGTAAAAATTTGTAATAGCTTTGATTTGATTGAAAAACAATGATTAATAACGTTATTACTGCAATTAATATAAGCAGTATGTATATATATATATATATATATATATATATATATATATATAAAAAAAAAAAAAAAAAAAAAAAAAAATATGTTTTAGTGATGTGCTGATACACCGCAATTGCATCCAAAGCAAAAAATGAATGTATTTTTAGAAATACGTGTTACATTTTATAAATGGATATTTGAATAAAAATACAGAAAAAATTAGTGATTTATGATGATATGGAAGCGGTCCTAATTATTTTGTTCTTAGAATTTAAAATAAATTTGTAAAATCATTAAAAATGCAGATCACATACCTGGCAATAAAGATTGATGTACAGTAAGTTAGGTTGTAGCCAAAAGAAAACTTACTTGTTGACATAGGCATGGCCCTGAAGACGCGAGGCATCCCATAACCGTACTGTCCCATCATCGGAACATGAGCCAAAAAGTCCACGATGCGCCGGCAAACGCACCAACTGATTCACACGAGCTCTGCAATAGATAGGAGAACTTTTAGTAATGTCATAATACCTTGAACAAATTATTAATCTTGTGATTCCGAGGTAAGAGAATCTATCATCCCATTTCAGCTTGTGGGTGTCGTTAGAAGCGAATATAGGATACTGAATAATTAATAGAGGAGGCTGCAGCCTTCCCCGTTAACCAGCGAACTTCAAAGATTGTTGATTTCGGCAAATCGTCTATTATTAGAAGAAGCCTATATTCAAAGTTTTAACTTTTTGTTGTGGATAATGATACGCAAAATCATGTCTTATGCAAAACTTGTTCTTACTTACTGTTACAGCCTATTAAAAGTTCATTCATCAGCAACCCTCATGCGCAGGGTTCGTGGGAGCTCAAATAGCATTCTGAGGGCAATATCTGATAGATTTGATTGTCCCTAGGACACTGGATGCGTATGCACTTACATGTGCCTGGTGTCATTTTTTTTTATAGGATAGGGTGACAAACGAGCACACAGTCCACCTGATGGTAAGTGGTTGCTTTGCGTAACTTCGGCACTCGACAGAGTTCGGCACGGTGTTTGTGTGCGTGCGACTAGACGTATGCGTGTACACTAGCTGCTAACTCAATGATAAAAATTCCTGAATAACCTACATGTATTGTAAGATATTAAAAATATTTTAAACAATATTAATTTTTCATTTATTCAATAATTATTTATGTAATCTAAGTATCCTGTTTACTCCAAAGAATACAGTTTTAATTTTTTTATTGGATAGATTGGCAAACGAGCACACAGTCCACCTGATGGTAAGTGGTTGCTGCGGCCCATAGACATCTACGTCTATCCTCGATTACGAATCAAAATGCAGATGCGTTGTCACCCGTGAGGACTAAGATGGAATGCCTCGTTTCCAGTAAAAAGGGTCTCCGGTTCTCTACACTCACCATACGAAATACAGCAGCATTAAGCTACTATTTCACGCTGGTATTCTGTCATGGGGTGCCGAATATAAAAATAATTGTTATGAAAATTTTGCGTGTACTAACATAGGTTAAGCTAATTTACTAACATAATTATGGACTATATGTGGGTCTGAAATAAATTAAATTATTATTGTTATTATAAGAGGGTTATTTGTCATAGTTTTTATTTTATTATTGTTGTCATTATGAAGACGTCTCATCTCCTGGTTTATTTCCCTCTATATCACCTCTTACGACACCCACAAAAAGTAACATAAATAAAGAAATATCGGGTAGTGTATATTCTTACATCACCACTACAGGTCAGTATGCCATTAAGTTCAGTTTATATTTTGTTTCAGTTACCTTAGCTAAGGGAGGGCGAGAACCTTCCACAAGAGTATTTTTTTTATAGGATATGGTGACAAACGAGCACACAGTCCACCTGATGGTAAGTGGTTGCTGCGGTCCATAGACATCTACATCTATCCTCGATTACAAATCAAAATGCAGATGTCACCCGTGAGGACTAAGATGGAATGCCTCGTTTCCAGTAAAAAGGATCTCCGGTTCTCTACACTCACCACACACAGCAGCATTAAGCTGCTATTTCACGCATATATTCTGTGAGAGCGTGATCCGTCCCCGGTCGAGCCGACCCATTCGTGCTACAACTATACTACTAATACAATTACAGCATGGCTCTACCACGCATGATAATATTTCTTTACATAACTATTTATAAAAGCATTTCTATACTTAAAAGAAGTCCTCAAACTTGTACTAATTTGAAAATACGTTGGAAACAATAAACTTTCATTAAGTTCCTACTTGTGTTCATGTAAATACGCCAGCAGTTGATTCCCTGGCCGCCAGGTTGATGGCGGTAACATGTCTTCACTAGAGTCACCAATGTCTTCATGGCTTCTGTAACACAAATAACATTCAAAATTATAAATAAGCAATCTGTCAACACAGTTTGTATATTGTCGAATAGTAAAACTTAGAATAAAACTCATATAATGCTATATCTATAAAAATCATTCGAAATGTATATAAAAATTTTTTTAACCACATCTCTTTACAAGTTTTTAAACCATCTTTTAGTTTTAAGTTGTTTAGTAAGTTTTTAAAACATAAATATCTATATCTTACAGACAATAGGATATAGATATATAGTTGTGGTCACATAATTAAGAACGATTTGAAGTTCTAGAAGTTTTTTATTTAAATCATGTCGTACACAGAGATGTACACCTTCTGAGAAGCAACTAGTTATGTTATAAAATAGCCACATTAATAGAGCAACTTGGTTTAGGAATAAAGAATAAAATCGCTAACTTTTTTTTTCACATTTTATTTATTTTACCAAAGTAAGTAATTCAAATAATTCTGAAACTGGACAAATAATTAAGAACGATTTATTAAACTGCTCGGAAATTGTTTTGTATGACACTTACATTTAAAAAATCACAATAATATGTAACACGGAAAATTTAAAAAGCAATTTAATACATTTTTAACTAAAACAATAGTCAATAGCATATCCACGGCTTTTAATTACAGCTTTACATCGGCGAGGCATTGACTCTTATTAATTTTTGACATTTCGCAAGAGAAATAGAGTTCCATTCTTCTAAAAAATCGCCATACAGCCATCTCATAAAAAATTCCCACACTGTGTATTTGAAACCTTTTTCTTTACTTCGAACCACAGATTCTCTATTGGGCTTAGATCTGGGCTGTTAGCTGGCCAGTCTACGACAGAAACTGATTGCGCTGTAAGAAATACCTTTATGGTGCGTTCAGTGTGCTTTGGATCATTGTCCTGCTGAAATGTCCAAATAACCGGTAGAACGTCTTCATAAGGTAACATTGTTTCTTCCAGTATATTTTTGTATCGGAACTGATCCATGTTACCTTCTATCAACTTTACAGGTCCAACACCATGTCCAGAAAAGCACCCCCAGATTTTCACATTTCCACCACCGTGCTTTAATGTAACTGTCGTGTACTTAGGGTTGAATGCTGTATTCGGGGGACGTCGTACATATCGTTTTCCATCAGAACATACCTACTCTGTTTACTCGTATTTTCGTCTCGTCAGAAAAAAGTACATTTTTCCATACTTTCTCGCAAATGCAAGCCGGGCTTGCGTGTGGCAAAGTTTCAACATGGGTACCTTTCTTGCTATCCTACCGTGCAATTTTTCTTTAACCAAACGTCTCCGAATAGTGTGTGCTGAGATTGCTGAAGGGTTGTTTTCAACAAAATATTATTTTCTCAGCTCATTGGACCCTTTGAAAGGATTTTGTTTTGCCATACGAACGATGTTTCGGACATCTCGAGGAGTTGTTTTTCTCGTTTAGGTACACGTGGAATATTCGAAGTAATTTGATACGCTTTTATTTACGCTTTGCTTTACAGCGTGGAAAACCATCGTCTTTGAACATTGCAGGTGGTCGGCTATATTTTTATAAGACCAATTCTTCCGGCGAAGTTTTATTATTACTTCCCTTGTAGATTTATTACAACTTTCATTTTTTCCCATTGTTTTTTCCTAAGAAGCAATCACTTTCAATCTTTTACAGCACTAAATGGCGCCAAAATTATACAAACAGCAACAAATCAACTGAGTGTTCCCTATTTAAATTTGAATAAAGGTATAAATTATTTAGCGTTCTTAATTACGTGACCAGCCAGTAAATAGAAACCCTATGTTTAGAAGTAGTGTAAAAAATTTGTCTATTTATTTTAGCTAATCATGTGCATCAATAAATACAGTGGTATTATGGAAAAGTTTTACAATACCGAGAGAAATAAAAAAAATGCATGCAATTAGTTTTGTTTGAAAAAATCTTCCCCTTATATCAGCGTTCTTAATTATATGACCACCACTGTATATTATGTATTAAAAATAAGAATTTATTACATTTTTGTTGATAAAAATCTACATTGACAGAAATAATAAATAAAGATAATCCAAAAATGTTTAAACTAATATCAATTACATAGATTTTTTTTTGTTATTTCTTTCTTACTTTCGCTAAATTATGGATGCATCATAAATGGCTTTCGCGATCACGGAAGGATTACGCTCTCACAGAATTCCATCGTAATAATTAAGCCTAATGCTGCTGTGTTTCTTACGGTGACTGTAGAGATCCGGAGACTCTTTTCACTGGAAATGAGGCATTACATCTTAGTACTCAGAGGTGTCAACTCACTACTACACTACTACATTTTGACTCTTAATCGAAAATAAATGTAGGTGTGTGCTGGTTTGTCAAAAGTCGATTTTCGGTCACGGCGTCCAGTTTGAACGGAGGCGAGCCATCTGCGCATAACAGGACTCTCATAGTCCGATGGAACGACATGTCCGGAACGACTGAAGAGAGATCAGGCGCATTACCACCAGCTTTACGCTTTGCTTTCTATGACTCGATAGTGAAATTTACACTTTGCTTTCTATGACTTGAAAGCGAAATTTCCTGACTTGTGCTGTTACCTGCTACTGGGCATTTTTTGAAACAGGTCTAACTGGGTTTCAAATAAGAATTTCTTGACAGAGAAACTCGATGACTGATTTCAGTCCAATCCTGAATTCCAACCAGGGACCGTATAACTAGCAGTCACGTTTATGATAACTAGACAAACGAGGCAGTCAAGTTAGATAGTAAGTAACATACGAAGTTTTTTATTTTTATGCTTGAATAAGTTTAAATGTAAAATTTGAATGTTCTTATAATCTAATGTCGTTTACAAACTTGATAAGGTTGTTTACCTTCAAAGACATTTAAGTATGTAGTAAGTAATAGACCGGACATAGCAACAAAATTGTCGTCTGTAACTTTTGTCCTATAGGATATATCTCCGCTTTTTGTCATTTAGTCTAAGTGACATCACCGAAAGGCATTCGTTTCATAAATTTGAAAAATATTTTTAAAGAACATATGCCTGGTTGTGCATTAAGGTATAGTAAATCACGATATGGAGCAAAAAATGAACATGATTTCGGTTTATTATTCTAAGAATAATGTATATTTACCAAATAATCTTTAAATTTTATTATTTCTGATGAATTGTTCTAGAAGAAAGAAAAGATATTACAATAAATGCCCTCTGTTATCCAGTAACGTAACTATTTATTTACAAATATGTAAGTAATTGACAACGTGCCTAAAACCGATTTTAACCTTATATTTGGAAGCGTCACCTAATGGGAAATAGCTAAAATGTTTTCCAAATAAATATTGAGCGTAGTATTGCTATTTTTTGCTAGAGGGCTTAACACACGCGCGTGCTCACAGTTTTTGTATGTAAATGTTCCCAATGTCCGCTCTATAGTTATTATATATTTAAATCTCTTTGTTTACCTTAGAGATTTCTGAAATTTCTGCTGCATACGTGCCGTCAAATTCCGTAGCTCTATCCGACAGGGGGCCATGCTGTCTAGGAATAAACAAAAATAGTAAGAAATTTTATTTACATTTAACATTAATACAAAGCACCAAACGATTATAAAATTGCATATTATGGCAAGATCCCTAACTGGTCACTGTTGTCTTAAAAAGCACATCTCCATCCTGGGTCTAAGCAACTCAAGGATGTGTCGGTTCTGTTCCATAACGGAAGAAACGCCTCTGCACATCCTAACTGATTGCGGACCCTTAATGCGCAAACGTAACACTCATCTTTGAAACCATGTACTCCGTCCACAAGAAGTGAAATTACTCACGACTAAGCAACTACTTCTATTCATCTTAGCAGTGAACTATAGCCATAGCAGCGATCACAATAGATCTTTTGGGTCGCAGTGATACTGGTCTCTTTTCCTAGACATACATAGCTGCTCGCACTTTAAAAAAAAACTATTATAATAAATACATTCAACACAAAACATAAAGATTAACTAAAATTTCTATGTAAAATATTTAAATAAAATGAAGTAGAAAATTTAAAGAACCAAGGAAATAAATGTCAATGTGTAATTATCTAATCAAAAATGTGTATTTACAAAATGACAACAGACAGAAAATAATGCCACACGATAAAGATTTTAGATTTTTATAGAATAAAGTTGTCAAACGAACATACAGCTGATGGTAAGTGGATAGTGTAGTCCATAGACATCTGTTTTTCACCCTGAGGACTAAGATAGGATGTCTCATTACCAGTAAAAAGGTTCTCCAGTTCTCTACACTCACCTTACTAAAGAATACAGCATAAAGCTGCTATTTTACACTGGGTATAGACTAAAAGCGTGGTTTGTTGTGTGGTGGTTCCCAGTTGAGCCGACCAATTCGTTAAATCATTACAAATGGAGAAATCATTTTTATATATAAATATATATATATTGCATGAAATGAGTAGTTTTATTCTAAGTAATTCAATTATAATTGAAAAGTTACATTACTTGAGAATCAATAACGAAGAAATTTATGCAAGTGTAATGATAGAGTGAGTGTGTTTTAAGAAAAAGTATATAAACATAATCCACGAAAAATGTAACTGTAAGCTCTAACACCAATATAATATATACAAATAAGAGATAAAATATGACAGTTTGTTATAAAGGCAGGAATTGCAAATCTAAACTAGAAAAAGAATAAAAAAAATAAAAATTACTCAAAAATATGTAAAGTAATGATGTATAAGCTAAAATTTAGTAGAAAAATATAGTAAATAAAATAAAATTGAATATAATTATCCTACTCACAAACAAATAGGTAAATACCCTGGTTGTTTTGTATAAGAACGCTATTCTTATTCATATTTGTATGAATATATTGGGTCCTTACATTGGAAAAAAAATTCTCTGGTATATCTGTAAATCATATTTATTAATTATTATAACTATTAATTCTATAGAGTTAGGGTGAAAGTCCACATGACGGTTAGTGGATGCTGTGATCCATAGACGTCTACATTTATCTTCGTTTAAGAATCCAAAATGTAGATGCGTATAGTAAGGTTCTCAGGAGTGACAGAACCTTACTATACTCACCGTACAAAAGCTTATTAAGCTGTCATTTAGGCATTAGTCGTTCCTAAGTCGACACATTTATGCTACAACCATAATATAGCCGCAGTGTGATTCTACCACGTGAAGAAATATAGCCATGATGATATACATAGTTCAATGTAATATCGGTCTGACATAGATTTAGAACACAAGAACAACGCACATTGCACGTAGCTGGCGCTGTGGCCCATCTGCGAGTGCGCGGGCGCGGCCGAGCTCGTGTGCGACGCGCTCGCTGCACTCACAGCACTCGTCGACTGAGGCGCTTGCTCCGATGCTGAAATTACGCAATTAACTCATCATCATCATTACAGCCCATCACAAGTCCACTGCTGAACATAGGCCTCCTCCAAGGAATGCCACAAAGCTCGATCCTGAGCCATCTGCATCCACCGACTTCCTGCATGTCTTACTAGGTCTTCACTGCATCTAGTGTGGGGTCGCGCTACACTTCGCCTGCCAGTACGAGGTTGCCACTCGAGAACCTTTTTTCCCCATCTGTCCTCGGTTCTTCGAGATATATGGCCCATTGCCACTTCAGCATACCAATTCTTTGGGCTATGTCGGTCACCCTGGTTCTACTGCGGATATCCTCACTTCTAAGTTTATCACACAGAGAAACTCCAAGCACAGCCCTCTCCATAGCAAAACTTAACATAAGATATTGTAGCGTTCATACAACTTTCTCGAAACGCAAAACGCAGACAAAATCAAACTGTTCTCAATGTCAGTTATAATTCTTGGCGGCAGTGAGGTGGGTACTAATTAAATAAAAAGCTTTGGTTACAAAAAAAATCACATCTCAAAATTTGACATCATAATTTCTTACGACAGAAACAGTATTTGCTATTTTGCACTGGACCAACTAACTATCGCGTTCACACTTTATTTCAAATCCAGCTATGCGACGTCTCGGTGTCTAATTAGTCTAAAGCTATTATATAAAGAAGGTTCTGTTTTATATGTAAGCTGGCGACCCACCCCGTCTTTGCATGGGTAGATAGTGTTAACCCTTAATTAGACGCATGGGGTCAAGCCAATTTCAAATAGAAAAAATATTGTGTTTTGTTTGAAGCACACTCGCGCTCTTTTTAGCTTTCAAATTCCGCGCGCAAAATTAGCTGGTAAACGCGGTGTGGCCAGAACATCCACGCGTACTATAGTATTAATCCTTAATTATGCGAATGGGGTCAAGACAATTTCAAATAGAAAAAATATTGTGTTTTAATGTTAGAAGCACACTCGCGCTCTTTCTAGGTTTTTGGGACTTGGGCGGGGAATTACCGCGGGGTAAACGCGGGGTGGCCAGAACATCCACGCGTACGCAGATGTCGCTACTCTCTTGGATGCTGACTCCATGCGACTACTTACGTAAAATTTTTTTTGCGAAAGTATGTTTTAATTTTTGTGTTTTTACTTAGTTTGTACTCGCACATTGTCATTTGTTTTATCAGTATTTGCTATTTTGCACTGGACCAACTAACTATCGCGTTCACACTTTATTTCAAATCCAGCTATGCGATTCTATATCTCGGTGTCTAATTACTCTAAAGCTATTATATACAGAAGGTTCTGTTTTATATGTAAGCTGGCGACCCACCCCGCCTTTGCATGGGTAGATAATGTTAACCCTTAATTAGACGCATGGGATCAAGCCAATTTCAAATAGAAAAAATATTGTGTTTTGTTTGAAGCGCTCTTTCTAGCTTTCAAATTCCCCGCGTGGTAAACGCGGTGTGGCCAGAACATCCACGCGTACTATAGTATTAATCCTTAATTATGCGAATGGGGTCAAGACAATTTCAAATAGAAAAAATATTGTGTTTTAATGTTAGAAGCACACTCGCGCTCTTTCTAGGTTTTTGGGACTTGGACGGGGAATTACCGCGGGGTAAACGCGGGGTGGCCAGAACATACACGCGTACGCAGATGTCGCTACTCTCTTGGATGCTGACCCCATGCGACTACTTACGTAACATTTTTTTTTTGCGAAAGTATGTTTTAATTTTTGTGTTTTTACTTAGTTTGTACTCGCACATTGTCATTTGTTTTATCAGTATTTGTGTATTCTTATGGTGTATATTCATTTTACCTGTTTTTGTCTTTATTTTTATTCAATTTTATTTTTTAGTTTGCAGTTTTAAGATGACTCGCAAAAGAGAGATACTGCAATGGCTGGCGGATGTGTCCGACGATAATTCCCGCCGGCACCAATGAAATTGTTAATTGCAATTTTAAAAGCTGATTTACCACGTGCTCGGCGGTGAAGGAAAACATCGTTAGGAAACCTGCATGTCTGAGGAATAAGATAAAAAAAAATATTTCGAAGACATGTGAAGTTCGCCAACACGCATTGGGGCAGCGCGGCGGACACTTCCTTGCCCTAAAACCCTCAGAAATGAGGGGAGGCCTGTGCCCAGCAGTGGGACGTATAAAGGCTGTAACGTTACTTTACTTTTAGCAGCAGCACTTGTAGAAAATCACCAGAAACATCGAATTCAACAGTGTGCTGTCCCTACTTCAACTAAAAATAGGCAAATGCCAAAAAGTGTAGTAAATTTATTTGTTAACAACACTTTAGGGTATATAGGTGTGTCGGATGCAGAATAGAAGAATTTGCTACAGAATCGGATTAATTTTTTAACGTTGATCTTGGCTATACAAAAATAAGTTGTTTAAAGCGAGATTAGAAGTTTTGTTATTTTTTCAATTGTTTAAAGTCAACGATATGTTTTAATTTATTAAAATTAATAATAACAAAAGTAATTAATAGTTTTAATAAAACATACTTTGTTTTATTTATTTCTAACATCTGTTTTCAATTTTTTATTTGGGGTCATTAGAGACCCCATGCGACTAATTGTGATTTCTTCATGCGCCTAAATTAAGAGTTAATGTGGCTTAATTTAGGTTTAAAATTATCATTAAAGATAATTTATTTTATTAATTTCTCGATTTCCTAAAAAAAACTCTATTTGTTTGAAGAAAAAAAAGTAACCTAGATCACTTCTGGCATTGTTCTCTATATCTTCTAGAAATTTCATCATAATCGGTTAGAACATTCCAAATTTAACAGACAGACAAAATTTCGTCACTTCTACGTCACACTACACATCGCTTACATGTACAAAACTGCAACTCGAGAACCTTTCTTCCCCACCGTTTTAACTATATGACCGATTAGTTGCCACTTCACCTTACTGATCCGTTGCGCTATGTCGGTCACTCCAGTTCTACCATGGTATTTAAGCTCTACTCACACTTAGTCGCCAACTGCTCGTGTGACTGACCGAACATGTGCTGCCATTCTGTGTTCATGTGCGTCTCATGAGATAAAGATGTTTTTTGAGTCCTCCTGCATAGAAAATATAACAGTGAGTGAGTGATAACTCATAAGTTTTACAAGTAATAGAATATGGTCAACGAAATATATGCGCGACAAGGATAGGACTTCTATCTTTTTGCACTCGTACCATTGTACCGTTTGCCAGTATCAAGTAATAAGAATTTATCATTTATAGTTTTATCACTTTTTCACATTGGCTGCGTTTGGCAGAAAAAAGCGCTAGCAAGCGCTTGTAAGCAAAATGGTGAAACTAAACAGTTTTCGGCTAGGACATATTTGCTAACTTCAGTAGCGCTGACACAATCCGCCATTTTGCTTATTTAATTTGTTTGTTTTAAAGTAGAGTTTATAAGTTGTATTGTGCAATATTAGTTTCAAATAATATAATGACATGAATAAACATATTATACATGTTATTAAAAATTCATGATTGGTAAGTTTTTAATATGAATACTTTTTACAAACGTATATTTAAATTAGGTTAGGTTCCCCGGTTAAAGCTAACTTCGTGTCCTAGAGGAAAATAGCTACTTACGATTTGACAGCGCTTACCGCTTACGATCGCCATTTTGCTTACAAGAGCTTGCTAGCGTTTTTTCCTGCCAAACGCAGCCAATGTGTTAATGCGTCACATTACGAAGTTTTTGGAAGTTATTGACAGCAGTTTGAGCCAGCAGCCGGTGGCTATAGTATCCCAAAGCGCTTAAGCAGACACATCACTTACACCAGTATTTATAAACAAGTAAAAGTAATTACTTGAGTAAAAGTAATCACTTAAGTAACGATTTGTATACGATAGTTAAGTAATTGCTCCAAGTTAGAACTGTCAAAAGTTAGAATACTCAGCCAAGTAATAGTCACCATTTCCTTTACTTAGGCACTACTTTGAGGTTATTTTTGATAAAAAATGAGAACTTTGCATAGCATTGGAACGGTTTTTGCTGTTGTAGACAATATAGATGATAATATTATATTAGAGGAGATAGAATTTGATTTTATTTTTCAAATATATATATCGAATAAATTGAAAGAGTTATGAAAGAAACTGATGGAAAAATTTGGGATGTGCAAGCGGGTTTTCGAAAGGGTATGGGGTGTACAGGTCAAGTCTTTTCCATGCGCATGATTGCGGAGAAGTTTTTGGCTAAAAACCAGAAAGTTTTTTGTGCGTTCATGGACTTGGAAAAGGCTTATGACAGAGTGGACAGGAATGTGTTATGGCAAACACTGAACTCATATGGGTTGAGCGCTGGTTTGATACAGGCATTGAGGTCTCTTTATAGGGATTCTAGTGCTTGTGTCAGGATCAATGGGGTCTACTCGGACTGGTTTGGTTGTTCCGAAAAGGTGTCAGACAGGGCTGTGTGGCTTCCCCTTGGCTGTTCAACCTATTTATGGACAGGTGTTTGCAAACTTTGAAAGATGAAGAATGTGGGTTAAGAATGGGCGAGTTAACCGTCAAATGCCTTTTATATGCCGATGATCAAGTCATATTTGCGTCGTCGGCGGCTGAGTTGCAAATGATGGTTACATTAATGAACTGGGCATTAAAAGAAAGGGGAATGAAAGTGAACGCAAGTAAGACGAAAGTGATGGTTTTTGAAAGAGAGGAAAGCAAAACGGTATGTGAACTAAGAATAGAAGGAGAGTTAATTGAGCAAGTGGATGAGTTTGTGTATTTGGGATGTGTATTTAGCAGGGATGGTAGATATGATAGGGATATAGAACGACGAGTAAATGCAGGGAATAGAGTGAATGGGGCACTACACTCTATTGTGAAGAACCAGAATGTATCAAAAAAGGCACGTATAGTAATTCATAATGCTGTGTTAGTCCCTACTTTAATGTATGGTAGTAAAAGCTGGGTGTGGCAGAAGAAGCACGAAATTAGAATAAATTCTGTAGAAATGCGGTCTTTAAGGAGTATGTTAGGGTTGAATCTGAATGACAGGGTGAGAAATTGCGTGATAAGAGATAAATGTGGTATGCAAGATGATGTTGTGACCAGGATTAAGAAAGGAATGCTTCGGTGGTTTGGTCACGTAGAAAGAATGAATGAGGAAAGAGTGACAAAGCAAATTTATAAGGCAGATGTGAACGGCAGAGTCGGGAAGGGACGCCCTAGAAAAAAGTTTATCGACCAAATTGGCGATATTTTGAAAATGGGCCACGTTAAAAGTACCCTTAACCGACGAGCATGTATGCGTAGATATATGGATGTAAAGGAGGCGAAAGAGGTATGTCAGGATCGTGCCAAATGGAAGTCCGTAGTCTCTGCCTACCCCTCTGGGTGACAGGCGTGAGTATTTATGAATTATGAAATTATGAATAAATAATCTTAAGAACAGAAATTAAACAAATAAGATTAAACAAATATTATATTTATGTTGTAAGTTTTACACTATTTACTTTAACACTTTTATCTAATTTTATCGAATAATAATTATTTTTAACAGAAAACAAGAATTAATTAAACATTTTTTTTACTTTTACGTTTATTTCTTTAAGAGTTGAATTTCAAAATAACGATTTTGACAACCTGGCGCATAGTAAGCGCTCACGGGGTACCGAATTTGCCACAATAGGCAAATAGATCTTAGTTAGGCTAAGAAGCCCGGGTGACAACCCGTTCATGCCATCTCACATCTCCAACTCATCTCCCTTTATAGGACTGACAAGTGATGAAATGAATATATGTAACTCTTTTTACGGGATTATGATATTTCTGCTAAATGAATTTTCTTACTTTAAAAGTTTAGACGTTATTCTAACTTCGACATTTTTTACGAATATTTATTTTCGGCGTAATAAAAATCGTGTTAATCGTCGTTCGTAAATTTTAACATACGGAATTTTATGCCTTAGAATTGTTGGTCATTTCGAAACCTTTGACAGTAAGCCAAAACATCGTTCATAATAATGAAGAACTATGTTTATGAACACAGAAACAACCACCAAGCGTAGAGAGTTACTTGGGCATTTGCTCAAGTAAGTAACGTGTGTTACTCAACTATAGAATGAGATTTTGTAATTAAGAATTCTAACCTTAACCCTACAAGGCTCAATTTTTTTTCTGTTGCTAATAAAAATATATGTGATGTTATTGGTAATAAGTACCTGGGAAAAAATAATAAAAAAAATCAAAACCCAAAATTTTACTAGAAAATCAGTTTTTTATTTCTGTTCCATATATGGTACACTGAGCCTTAACTAAAATTTTTTGGCGTTGAGCTTGAACTTTTAAATTATTTTAGGAACATGATACCAAAAGAATTATATTGAAGTGAAACTTAAAAAATTAAATAAACATATTACAAAATATTTATAACAATACAAAATAACTTTTTTAAAGTACCTATTTGTGAAAGTTTCTGAAACAATTATTATCTTTATTGAGACAGAGTTCAACTCGACATTTTTCACACGATATAAATGTTTTTCCTTTGCAACCGGGGTATTTACAGCGTTGCCTTTTTTGACCCCAAATTGGAAAATGCTCAAACCCGTCACATCTTACTTCACAAGGGGGTAGGATTGCCGCATTCGGCTTCTTTTTCTTTATTTCAATTTGATCAGGCAAACTTGAGGGTCTGCCTCTTTTCTTGTTGATCGACGGCCCACACATGCACAGACTTTTTCCTAGATCAAACTTGAAGTCCTTTAGCTTTAATGGAGTTGGCGTTTGCTTTTGTTCTCCAACTCTTCTGTACAGTAACCAGCTATTTATAACAATAACATCGAGAAGATGATAAAATAGTCTCAAATACCATTTTCTCGTCCTTATTTTTATTTTATATTTTCCTAGGAAGGAATCCAGAAGGTCTACACCTCCCATGTGCTGGTTATATATTTTTACAATTCGGGGACAGTCTACTTGTATATATCTCTTCTGTTTCTTGCAGTACCTCTTTACTGAATGTATTGGCTCTTGGCCCACGAAAGACGATGATAAGATAACTGGTTTATTATCGTACCACATCACTGTTACTATGTCTGTACCATCAACATTTGCCACCCATTCCTCAGAAAACCCTCTCTCCACCTTATCTTTTTTTAGATCCTTTAGGGAGGGAATTTGAACATCCTTTCCCAAACGGGCTTTGTTTACAGTCCCCAGCGATAGGATTCCTTCTTTGGCCAAATATGAAATCAATTCTGGCGACGTGTAATAATTATCAAAGAACAACCTATATTGTTGGTTCCTGGGTATGCACCTAGCTAAGCGTACAACGATATTTGAACTCGCTCCTAAGTCTGGCTCACTTGAATGCCTTAGTTCGGGATCGTTCTCCATTCCTGAATAAATTTCAAAATCGTAAGCAAAGCCACGATCATCGCAAAGAACCAACAGTTTATACCCCCATTTATGTGGCTTATTTGGGAGGTATTGACGCAGAATATTGGAAGATTTTGTCGCGCACATTTGCTCGTCAACAGATAGTGCCTCTCTTTTAGGGATACTTATACATTTCTTTTTCAAAGTTTCCAATATTGGCCTGATTTTATGTAAACGATCATGCCCTGGTGTACCTGAGGGTGGTTGCGCGGTGTTGTCATTGAAATGCAGGAACTGGCAGATTTTTTTGAAATGGTTTAGGGACATTGTCTCCATGATCAGAGGAATGCCCAATTCAGGTGCCCAATACATTCGAATATTTGGCAATGGTGACAAGCTCATAATTAGACAGATACCTAAAAACTTTTTCAATTCATTAACTGAAATTCTGAATGGTTTTGAAGAATTTTTTTGAATACTAAATTTGTGCATTTCTTCTACAATATGCCCCAATAGTTCATCATCATAAAACCATAAAAAATATTGAACAGGACTTTCAAATTCTATAATTGGCGACTGTAAGTTTACGTTTCCAGTAAACTGTGAATGTGGTGATTGAAAAGATTTTTTTTTCCAAATGAATTTCCTTTTCTTCTTTTTGATGATAGAAGCAGAGCCGTGTTGTCTAGGTATGTTAGCAAAAGCGATACTCACAGAAGTCGATGATCGTCTCGTTTTACGTGATTGTCTATTGTCACCTGAAGTTCTTGCTGAAGTCACGTCTGAAATACTAGGTTGAGTGTTTGTTATTTTCTGCACGCTCGATAAATGAACATCTTCGTTAACAGGAGGCAAACGGAGATGTATCTGCGGTGATGTTTCCATATCGGTTAGGTATTCGGAGAAAAAATTGAGGGAAGATTGAATTTTTTCTATGTCTTCATCACTTCCAGCTTCAGAGAAGTCTTCGCCATCTTCACTCCCAGATGGTATACCCAAGAAATCTTCAATATCTTCATCACGCAATCGTTTACTCGACATAATCTGTAATAAATAAAAGTATTCATAAGTACACTTCTCATAAGTACATATTCGTAAAAAGGAAGGCTAAAGCTCGACGTACCGTATGTGGAACATAGATAAAAATACGATTTATCAATATAAATAATACAGTAATAGAAAAACTAACTTACCTCTGCAAAATATACACTTTCTTACGATACGTTATATTTTTTTCCGGATCAAAACCTTAATGTAACGGTATTTTATTATTTATTTAATTTACGCAAATGTCAAACGCAAACCTTCAGCATAAATTTCGCCGTTTACTGACGATAATCAAATCAATAACGACATCTACATGCACTTATTTGTGTTATATCATTTCTATATTTGCGGTATATCCATTAATAACGAAAAGATGTCGCTACTAGTATTTCATAGAGCTGTAGCAACCATAAAAGTGGTTGTCCCGCATATGGTACTGAGTGCCTTGTAGGGTTAAGTAATGACTTAACTAAGAAATTACTTGGCAACAAGTAATTACTTCTTTATAAATACGGGTATTAGTCAGGTCATAAATTCTGTCAATTTTTTTTATAAAGTTAATGATACACTTTTTGATAACTATACAGAAATTATTTAAGAAATGAAAGGTAATTTAATTTAGAATACAATTTTATTTACATTATTCAAAATGCCCTCCCTATTTTAAATACAGCATGTATTTAAAATAGTGAGGGCATTTTTAAAAATCTAACCTAATCAACGGGGTCAATCATCAATCGCAGCATGCACCACACTCATATCTATTTCTGCCGCTGCTTTATCCAAATATGCTCGGAGAGATTCCAAATTCTGATGAGGTTTAGCGCAGACTTTCTCCTCCAAATGTTGCCTTATCTTATAATCCTGTGGATTTAAATGTGGAATAGAAGAGGGCCAGTCCGATATTCAATTCCATGGGCGGTCAACCAGTTTTGCGTGCTTTTGCGTGCCCTATGAGCTGGTGCAGAGTGCTGTTGGAATATCTAATGTTTGTTTTTGAACATTGTTCACTAGATGATAAGTGGATCTTTGTCCAGGGAATAATTCCCTTTTAATTTCAGACCATTCGGGATTACACGTGAAAGTTATAATAAACAAATCAGGTCTACCAAAGTTTCGGACGTATGTCATTGCATCTTGCGTCTTTTCGTACATAACCTGTGAATGTTGTGGGTAATATTATGTATTACCCAATATTTTGCGCATTCACAATCTGATCTTGATTTACAGCGTCTCTTAGATGAATGTAGTTTTCAGCTCTTAGTTTATTTTGGCTTCTGCGGATAAAGTCAAGTCGTTCAGCTATATCTTGGCCATCATATCAACCAAATTATGTGATAGGTCGCCCTAAAATGAAAATTCGCAAATTTAAAATGACCGTCAACAACGTCTGCCCTCACGTGTCTGCTCGTTCAGGTTGCTGACTTTGACACACTATCTCCCCTCCGCACACCGCAGCCCCTTCTGTCTACGACGCGCGCGCCGCGCCGACCGCCATCATATAATAATTATTTCTTACTTGCGAAGAGGAACAACTTAGTCATACATTATTTTCATGCAACTTTAACTATTAATGCAGTGCACACTGTGGAAGCTCTCAATAAGCACGACTTTACGGCTAAGTTGACAAATATCACCACAGCTTTTAGCCATAATGTAAACATATACAGCCTATGCCCATCTAGAATTATGTACCTTTCAAATGGTGAAAGAAATTTTCAAATAGCTGTAATGGTTCCGGAGATTACCCTCCACATATATCAAAACTCACAAAATTCGCACTCTCTCTTTATAATATTAGTATAGATTGTGAGTTATCCTTAGAAGATAGCCATAAGCTTTTTTTAGAACTTTTTAAGAGGAACAATTTAGCCATACATTATTTTCTTGGAATTTTAACTATTAGCGTGAGCGTATGCTGTGGAACCAGCACGACTTTTTGTGGTTGAGTTGACATATCACCTTATCTTTTAGCCATAATGTAAACATATACACATCATATTATATAGCCTATGTCCATCTAAAATAATGTACCTTTCAAATGGTGAAAAAAAATTACAAATAGGTTCAAATGGTTCCGGATATTAACCTCCACATATATACAAACTCACAAAATTCGCACTCTCTCTTTATAATATTATAGTATATAGTGTAGATGCTGATATTTTCTTTCCCGTAAAATAAATAAAATAGTAAATTAAAATGACATTTCATGACAGCGGCCAGAAAATTGACATTTAAAGTAAAGGTTTCGTGTAGAGTTGCCCTAAATCCGCCATTTTTGGCAATGGAATATTTTTATACTCATTATTAAAAAGAATGGAGTCGGTACTCGGGTATACCTAAATCGGCACGTTAATAATCCTATATTTAATCAATCTTTACTGACCTTGGTTGACTGGAGATGTAAAGTTTATCAGTAACGTTATGTGCGAGTGTGTTATCAGCTACGCCTGGATCCAGCTGCACCGACCTGGAGATACCGCTGGCGCCGCTTAGCACTAACCTGCCCGGCGCGTCTGTGATATGCTAACATAAACATAGATTCTACAAGTTAATGGTAGATATTAATACTATAAGTTGATAGAAAGAAAACAGGAGAAAATAAAAATATAATAAAATTCTAGAGTCGGAATAACTTTTTGTAAGAAAAAGAAATTAAAATTAAAAGAATGAACTGGTTTGCCGAGCAGTGGCGGTGTAAAAATATCCTCTACTCCATATCGACCCGTACATAGAATACTATAATACATACATAGGGTAAGTTCCAAAATAGAACCCAGTGTACTGTCCAATGCAAATGACGTCATGAATCGACGCTATACTGGTGATTCGTTCCAAAACATAGGACAGTATATGACGTCATACATTTACGCCACATTGAAAAGTGTTGGCGATTATTTTGTCATTTTGTGCTCCAAAAATCATTATATCTTCCTAATGGAGATACCAGCAATTATTCTATAATTTTTTGTATTTTAATAAATAAAAACAAATTCTGGCATGCTTCATTCAGCGCACAAACAATTAAAAATTGTTTTATTGTGGCCGGATATCCGACGCAATATGGCGGCGGCACGCCAGTACAATATAGTGTCAATTGATGACGTCATTTGCATTTGCCAGTGTACTGGGTTGTATTTCGGAACATACCTATAATAGAACGGGGGAATGGGCGGAGCCCGCGTAGCTACTAAAGTGTCACTAACACGTCAATTCACACTTATAAATGTCAACACGAGATGTGTTTTGACGTTACAATCGTTTCCAAATTTCGCATGCAAATTATTGAAAAAATGCCAAATTGCACCCTATTTACAAATAAATATCTATTAAAATTTAAACGATTTTTTTAATGATGATCTTGAACGTTAATCAAAAGTCTAAAATGTATAAATTTATTCAGTCTGTCAACACAGCAAATCGGGTTTGGCGACGCCAATCCTCGTACAAAATAAAGTTGACAGCCATTCTATTGTGTATTATAGTATTCTATGGTCCCGTATGGAACTGAAACAAGAGACGGGTAGCTAGCTCTTCCTGACAACGACTGAAAATAATTACAAAACTGCATGACAAGCGTGCCACCCATGGCAAAATCCTCCTATGACGTAATTTATGGAAGAGGCTAAGCCTGTGTTCAACGTAACAACAGAAGCCTTTGGTAGGATGCTTTTTACGAAACCAGTAAGTCTTAACCGATTATGTATAAATTGGTAGTGTTTTGTTTTAATTTGACCGTCGAAGTAAATTGTCGTCTTAGGTGAGAGACGCCTACTGCGATCATTAATCCACCGAGTGATTAAAGAAAATCCTCCCCACAACCAGAAAGGTCCATGTCCAACAGTGTAGATTAGCAAAATGATGAAGAGGCATAATTATAGAAATACATGCTAGCATTACATTATTAATAAAAATACGGCTATTATAACGATCGAGGGAAGTAACTAAAATCACAAATGGAGCAGCATAAGTTTCGATTTAAAACAATGAAAGTAATTCTGTAGTCACAGTTGTTGGATCTACTTACACGTAGGAACAAAAAGCTTTCTTTTGTCGGTGACACACGAACTTCAGTCAATGATTGTAAGCGGCTAGTGCAGGTCATGGATAATTGCAAACAACTTCAAAAAAAAAAGCTACTAACTTAAAAATACGTTGTCATTTCTGAGGACTAAGATGGAATGTATCACACTGTGAGGCATTCTATCTTAGTCCTCAGAGGCTCAGACTCTAATTATACTACCCCTATTGACCCTTCTGACCGCGACACAGCAGTGCACACACTGCTTTTTGGTCCCAGGCAGAAAAGAGTTCTACCACCGTGTATACTGTACCAAAACGACATGTCTTTGTGCCAAAACCCGATCGAAGGCCTTCGCTATGTCCAAACTAACGGCCAACTCCCCCTTACACTCTACTGCCTTAACCCATTTATCACTAATCAGCTGGTGATCCTCAAGATACCTCATGAGCTGGCTGTTAATAATAGATACCATTATTTTAGAGAACAAGGAGGTGACAGCGATAGGCTTATAGTTGGACGGATCAGAGCGGTTACCTTTTTTAGGGAACGGGTGCACGAAGGCTGTCTTCCATTATTTCGGGACTACGCCTAGGGAGTAGGAGTACCAAAATAAGACTGTGTATTCGTACATTCATACGGACCTGTGTGGCGGAGCTTTGTATTTTAATTAGATGCGCACTCATCGCTAGCAGTTGATTTTCAACATGTTCCGTCATACCTGTAACGAAAGATTACATTATATTTCTTATTTACTGCAAAAAATAAAGATCAATTTATCCTCCGTTGTCTTGTAATAAATAATAAATGCCTGGGTCAGGAAGTCTACCACATATCGTCCTGTAGTGTAGTAAGGGGCGACAGAGAAAAACCGAAATGAGTTGGGCATCTTCTTGATAAAAACTCCAAATAATATAAATATATGCAGTTTCCAGTTCACGCCAACTCACATGCATGGCAACTATGGCAAATATTCTTCCTATGAAGAAATCTATTGGGGAAGCCTAAGTTCACCACTACACTTTTCAAAGCCTGTAATGATGATGTTGATGTTTTAGATTACTTTAGGTTTCTTTTAGATGTCAGATTATTGTTGCCACCCGCACTATAATATATATAGTATCGTACTATATTTCAATCCATTTTACTATATATTATAGAAAAATAATATAGTATGTAAAATACTATATTTTTATCCCTCATTCAAGTGTCCCGTTTTTTTATATCAACGGTGATGAGAAGTCTGGAACAAGTAGTATTATGGGAAAAAAATTCCATCATGAATGTAAAATTGAAAGAAAAAAGAAAAAGAGCATGCACTAGTTTAATTAAAAATTGTTAATTTATTTTAATATGAATCTAAATTACTCAGACCTATAATTATTTTAAAGGTAAAGTAAAAGATAAGGTGGTGACATCATTGATGACCAAAGCAAAGAGCAATTATAAATATATATATATGGAAAAATACATAAGGATTAAAAATAAATGTGTATTTTCTTCTCTCGAATTTTTCAAAAGTACTATATTTTTTTAAACTAATAATATTATTACGGTCCCTTTCAAGTCCACAGTTGTACATAGGACCTTCTCTAAGGAATGCCTAAAATACGATCCTGAGCCACCTGCATTCAATGAATTTACCGCATGCCTTTACAAAATCAAATACACAAGTACAACAATACAAAAGTTTGCTCGCTTTTTCATGTATTCAAGTTACGTAGCCTCTTTAACCTACTGACCTAATGGGCTATGTACTTTTTATTTTATAGAATACGGGGGAAAAACGAACACACAGTTTAGCTAATGTTAAGTGGATGCTGTGACCGACAGACATCTACGCTTAACCTCGATTACGAAGCAAAATTCAGACTATAATGGAATGCCTGGATTCCAGTAAAACGGGTCTCCGGTTCTCATTTTTTTTTCTTATTATAAGCCAGTGCTTGACCACAATCCCATTGGTGGTAAGTGGTGATGCAGTTTTAGATAGTAAATCGCACTGTCTTAGCGGAACAAATGTCTATTCACTCTTGCCTTGAAGACGCCCAGATTCACTACACTCAACTTACGAAACACAGCAGCATTAAGCCGCTATTTTACGCTGGTATTCTGTGAGAGTCTGGTCCTTCCCGGTCGAGCCAACCGACCCATGCTACAACCAAAATACAGCAGGAGCGTGGCTCTACCACGTATAAGATCTTGTTCTCTTGTTTTGAAGTGAACATGCCCGTTTCTTATTTTATCACACCGAAACTTAGAGCATAGCCCTCTCTAAATCTCGCCGAATGACTGAGCATTTGCATATCGCACACAGTGACGGAGCACATCTCGGTTCCGAAAGGCATCACTAACACGCATTGGTTGTAAACTTTTCTTGTGTACCTTCGAATCTTTAAAATAAATTATTAAGAAAAAAAAGAAGACTAAGACAAATATAAATTTACCATCAGAGGCTAGTCTTCTAAACAAATTTTTCAATTGCTGCCCCATTTCGCTGTACTGCGGCATCGTTCCTTGTTTTACCTTTAAAAGATAAAAACAGAATTATTTATTTGGAAAACATATACATAATAAATTATTGATTATAAATTCGTTATCATCTATTAAGCCCGTATAAAATCCACAGCTGGATTCAAACTTATCATAAAGTAGTGGGGAATTGTCATCAGCCATACCCCTAATGCTTGGCAAACTGTTTAAAGTTCTGCTACAATCTGCGACACTTCTTCTTCGCTGGTCTGATTATCTTACCAGAGACGTAGCATTGGGAGCTGCCACTTAGGGCTGCTTGCGCCAAAAATAACGCTGCGAAGTGAAAGAAATTGTTGTCCCCGCTGTCATTGTGTATTTATTATACATATTTAAAGTTTTAATCGTAATTCTTTAAAAGATATTGTTGCTTTACTTAAATACATAAAGATATTTGCACAATAAAACACAATTTTCAATTCCACTGTTTCCCGAAACAATTTTAGGAGCGAAAATGAAATGGCACTATGATGACTGTACATTCGTGAATATCGTACGAACGCGCGTAAATTACTTTACATTTGATAAAATATGCGCGATGGCTACAGCACAGGTATAAAAGATCTTCCTAGAATTTTCTATAGTGAGTTAAATCTTACAACACTTTTTTTTTGTAAAGCTTTTTGTGTTTTAGACAACAAGGACAAACATCCAGACCCGGTGCAATTAATTGTAGGCCATACAAATATTTATTCCGTGCGGGATTCGAACCCGCGGCCCTTAGCGCTGCAAGTCTCTGCTAAACCAGTTTGTCGAAGTTGTCTTCTTGTTATTTTTACCCAGTTTTGGTTAACAATAATTAAGGTAAAGCTTGTTTACATGTTTCGGTTTAAGATTAAGTATTTTCATTGTAATTTGTAAAGCTTATATCTTGTTGGTGTCTAAATAAATAAATAAACAGCCAAGAGACGAAATGGAATGTCTGTTTGATGACGTGCATTTGACTGATGATTTTTATTGTACTTTCTTACCCTGAGCCTCGTATTTCTCCTTTCTCTCAAAGTTTGGACTAGCCGGTCTACATCGCCATGTCGCAGGACTGCATCCAACACTTTCCTTGGTATGGGTTCTGCGAGACTTTCCAGTAACAACTCTGCTCTTTCAACCTTTAAAAAATTAATAATGGAATAGTTTTGGATACCGCTTATTTGGTGTCTAGAAAGTTGGTCTGGGCTTATCGTATATACTGCTCAATGCCTAAACATACGCTTCAATTCTTTACTTTATTTTTATTATCCTCAACTCTCTCTTTTTATTAACAAAACTCCTCTCAAGGCTTTATGTTATATTTTTATATTTAATTTCATTATACGGCGTGACGTGAGTTTTAGTACGTAAGATTTTCTGTTATTGTATTTTTTAGTTTACAGTACCACACAGGTAATTTTAGGCAAAATGTTTTTTTTTTGGTCTATAACAGCACCTTAAAAAGTTTATTTATTTATTTATTCACAAATTGCGTTACATGTGACTTAGAGACTAAACAAAACATGCAAGTTCTAACAATCACGTGCACCTCGAAAGGCATAGCAATGAACAGGAGAGGGGCAGACACCTAAAAATTATTTTCCTCAATGTATTCATTAATTGAATAATAACTTTTTTTTAATAAGTATCTCTTTTAAAGATCTTATGAATTTATTAATATTTGTTTCGGCTTTTACGTATTCCGGCATACATAACATACATAAACCCTCACGCCTGTCACCCAGAGGGGTAGGCAGAGACTACAGACTTCCATTTGGCACGATCCTGACACACCTCTCTCGCCTCCTTCACATCCATACACCTACGCATACATGCTCGTCGGTTAACGGTACTCCTAATTTGGCCCGTTTTCAATAAATCGCCAATTTGGTCGATAAATTTTCGCCTAGGACGTCCCTTTACGATTCTGCCATTCACTTCTGCAACATAAATTTTCTTTGTCACTCTTTCCCCATTCATTCTTTCCACATGACCAAACCACCGAAGCATTCCTTTCTTAATCCTGGTCACAACATCATCTTGCAAACCACACTCTTCTCTTATTACACAATTTCTTACCCTGTCGTTCAGATTCGGCCCTAACATACTCCTTAAGGACCGCATTTCTACTGCGTTGATTCTACTCTCGTGCTTCTTCTGCCACACCCAACTTTCACTACCATACGTTAAAGTAGGGACCAACACAGCATTGTGAATTGCCATACGTGCCTTTTTTGACACATTTTGACTCTTCACAATAGAGTGCAGGGCCCCATTTACTCTATTTCCCGCATTCCGGCAATTTATTATAAATTTTTATTGACATCCAGTAAGAACCTGTACTGTGTAATTTTAATTTAGATTTTGGTTGCAAAAGGTTATTCTTATAGCGATATACGTTGAATCGGGGCGCGTCTAAGATTTTGGTGTAAAAACTTGGGTGTCTTTTTACAAATTTACATATTTCTAATATATATAGGCACGGTAATGTTTTTGAGACTTTGAAAGTGAGGTTTGCAGCTTTCTCTTTGTTTGATATTTGCAAGTACGCGTATACATTTTTTTTTGTAAAATAAAAAAGTTCGTGTGATTCTACACTGTTGCCCCATAGTACTTTACTTTAGACGCCGTAGTTTAGCCACGCTTGAGCGTAGGCGTGATAGGCTCTCACTGCCGTTTTTAAAATTGTAGATTTTTTTAATTCTCTTAAAGCATATATAAATTGTGATAATTTTAAATTATTTTTTTGAATATGTGATTTAAAATTAACATTCAAATCTATATTTATACCCAGCAAAGAAAAATTTTGAACACATTCTAATTTTATTTGATTATATGTATAATTTATCTCTAGTTCATGTTTTTGTCGTGGTCTGAATTGTATTAGTTTAGTTTTTTTTTGAAATTGACTTCTAAATTATGTTCGCTTAGCCATTGTTTTAATTTATTTATAATTATGTCGATTCTTTCATTAAGTTTGGTACCATTGATATAAGGGAACAAAACGGAAAAATCGTCGGCAAACATCACACAAAACTCATCAATAATCATTGATGTAAATAAGAAAGAGGACACATCCGAGTACGGACCCCTGAGGGATAGAGTCCCGCACCGGCTGGGCCCTCGACCTGACACATGTTATGGTTTTTGAATCTTGATCTACATTTTCTATTTCGACGTACTGTGAACGATTGCTAAGAAAGGAAGCAAACCACTTATGAGCTACACCACGGATACCAATGTCATAAAGTTTATTTAAGAGAATGTCATATTTAATTTTTTCATATGCTTTTGTCATGTCAAATAAAATTCCTATTGCGTATTTCTGATCGTTTAATATGTTCAAGACTTCATTAAAATGCGGCCAGGGTTGTCGAGCGGCATTTTCTAAACCCATTTTGGGCGTCGTCGAAAACATTGTACGTTTCACAAACTGAGAATTTAACAGCTCTTTCAAATTTGAAATTACGGGTAAGAGTGCAATGGGTCGGTAGTTATTGGGGACCCCTTTTTTTTGTCTTTTGTTTGGTTTATAACATGTCAGGGAATACTCCTTCAGAAAAGGATTGATTTATAATTAAATTTAAAGACGGAACTATTTCTTCGGCACATTTTTTAATAAGAGTGGACGGCAGCTCATCAACACCGAAGCTAGATTTTAATTTTAGTTGTCGCACCAATGACATTACCACTGGGGTTAAGAACATCGAGTGCAGGGAGGGTCGCATAATCGGGCGGCCGCGTGGCGCGAGCGCACTACCTGCCGAGTGCCGCGTCGCTCCCGACTGACGCGAACAGCTCGTTAAAAACATTAGAAACCTCATGCGGGTCAGATATTGGTCAGATATTTTTTTACCTTAACATGCTTTGTTTTTCATTTATTATTTACCATATACATTTAATTTTATTAGTTGCTTTATTCATTCTTTTAATTGATTGTAATTGTTTTGATTTTATTATAACCTTTTTTAAATATTTTTCATATTGTTTGTAATAATTTTGTAAAGTTTTATTTTTCGAATACATAACATGAATTTTTAGTAATATTTTATGTTTACAAGATTTTTTAATACCGTATGTTAGTCATGATTTATATCGTTGTTTATTATAAATTTTTAATCGTTTATATGGAATTCAATATTCCAGTGCATCGTGTAAAATTTATTTATTATTTAGTGAATTGTAATTTCCGTCAACAGTTTTATTATTAGAAATGAACTTTTGCCAGTTTGTAATTTGTAAATATTGTTTGAATTTATTTATATTATTTTCATTGTATATTCTTTTACATATATAAAAATAAGGATTGTTACTTTGTTCTGATGGAACATTTTTTAATTGTAGCATTGCACATTTGTGATCTGAAAAGCCTAACTCTAATACCGTAGCACTTACGTTTTTTTTTACTGAAATTTGTAAATATCAAATCTATAAATTTTTCCAGGCGTGTGGGTTCTTTTATAAGTTGCTTAAAATTTGACTCTAGCATGGTATTTAGGAATTCTGATGATTGTTTTGATTTTACTAATGTATTCACATTAAAATCGCCACCAATAATATTTTTTTATCTTTATATTTTTTTATGATATATTGAAGAATTCGATTTAATTGACTGAAAATATGTCTGTCTCTCTACTGTTCCAATATAATGTAATTAACAATATATCCAATGCCGAAAGTTCAACAGCACAAACTTCAATAATATATTCAATAGACATGTACATGATATCCGTTCGTTCAACGTATTCGATGTTATTTTTTAGTAATATGCACACACCGCCGCCGATATATTTTTCTCTGTGGAACGCCACAGTTTCTTTTGTTACAGTAACCATAAAAATAATAGTAAAAGTAAAGAATCGTAAAAGCGTTCACTTGTTCTAACTACTATCAGGTTGCTGCTCAACTTTCAATAATATTTCATTTCTTATGAAAGATGCGACTTTATGACATGATAACACAACCCTATAGCAATGGTTATATAGACTCACGCTTGACTCCTTACGCCGAACAAGAAGTCCTATTGATACGCTTGAAAGAGATTCTAGTGATGCAACATAACTTCGTTTCTGTTTCCGCAACTGCGGAAGGTCTGCATGGTTTTTAACATCCGTTTCTGCTTCTATTTCCGCAAGTTTTATAACGAAAGTTAGAACGAAACTCAGCGACGCAACGGACGAGGTACGCGCCAATCGTTTGATAGTTGAGTTGAGCGCGTATAAGAGGAGGGGCGTTTCAGCCAATCACAACCGCCAAATATTTAGGTGTCACTCTAGACACAGGGCTCACTTTCAAGCCCCACGTCAAAAGAGTAACCCGTCACGCACGGTTTTATCTGAGTTGGCTCAACAGTATGTTGGGCCGACACAGTAAAATGTCCCTTCGAAACAAGCGTACCCTTTACAAGGTCTGTATACGACCAGTCATGTCCTACGCGGGCCCCGTCTTTGCCCACGCAAACCCTAATATTTTAAATGAACTCCAAATAGTTCAGAACCTCTTCTGTCGTCGAGCTGCGAACGCACTTTGGCTCTCGCTGTTGTGTCCGCAGGCCGAGAAACTCTCGGACCCGCCTAATAAACTGTCAAACGACCTGAACTGTCTCCTGGCGGCTCAGGCCAACTCTAATTAAATTAAATTATTGTAATAACTAACATTAATTTGCCTTCGTAGGCACTCCCTCAGCGGCACTTAGCCGCCTGCGCCCTCTTTTCCCAAAAGAGGGTCGCTCATGATAAGGCACAATACAGCTTGATCAGCCGGCTGCCTGTCCCCAAAGGCGGTTTTTAGAGGGTATCACTTAGGGTCCCCGGTAGGACAGTGAGCCCCTCATAACCACGATAGACCGGCTATCGTGGTATGCGTAATGCATTTTCCGCCTCCCTACGTATAGGGTAGCCCTTTAATTGCTTCGGGCGCAAAAAAAAAAAGCCAATCACAAGTGAGCTGGGCACGTGCTTTTGGCACCTGTTCCAACGTGTTTGTTTAGATATTTTTTTAATTTCATTATACGGCGTGACGTGAGTTTAAGTACATAAGATTTTTTGTTATTGTTTTTTTTTAGTTTTTTTGTAATTTTTAGTTTATTTGTAATTTGAGTTGTGTGTGTAACTTAAGTGCAATCATGAAGCCAAAAACAAGTCCCGTTTTGAACTATTTCGTTGAGATTGATGATTTAGGAGCCAGATGTAAATTATGTGACAAAATATACTCGCGAAAAGGCCGCACAACTACCACTTTAAAGAGCCATCTTAAAGCGATACACGCCGAACAGTTTGCAGAGTTTAGGAAGTTAGATAAAACTGTAATGGTCGTCACACACGGTTAGTTCAACTGATCAGTTCAAACTAAAACAGTTGATTTTGTTTAAAATATTGGATTTTCTACATATCGATAAATAAATCTATATATAAAACTCAGATATTGACATATTTATAATAATCGATATATCGAAAATCCGATATTTAAAAAAATATCAACAGTTTTAGTTTGAACTGATCAGTTGGAATGATCAGTTGAGATGACCGTGTGTGGCGTCCATAAAACTTTCATCGCAAATTAAAAAAACAAAAAATCTGTCAAGAAATTGCATATCTTTTTATTTATAAAATGTAAACTAAATGCCCTTGTTACAACTTAGATTTGTACACTTAATTAGGCAGCAGTTATGTTTACGTGGAGTTTATATTAATTTTCTTTTGGATTCAAAGTTCGTTTACGTTGTACTTTCGTGCTAGAGCTGTTAGGACTAAATTACCTACTCGCTAAACCTACTTGTGGCTCTTTAAAGGGTCTGCCCATATTTCAGTGCCAATTTAGGTTTGGTGCAGGTATACGCTGACTGCAGTGTATAATTATCTTATTTCATGTTGTTGTAGGTTTATTCAACCCCGGCTGAAACTGAAAAAAAAAACAACACTACAACAATGTCTGCTAGTTAATCATTATTGGGATTCATCGCATTCCAAATCTCAACAAATTGATCTTATGATTGCGGAAATGATTGCTCTCTAAAACTTACTATTCAATTTTGTGTACATGAGAATCCTCCTACATGGTGGAAATTAAATTGAAACAAATTTCATAATCTTTTGCCATTAGTGCGCTAATATTTATCAGCTCCTGCCAGCAGCATCGCCAGTGAGCAATTATTTAGCGGAGTTGGACTTATATATGAAGAACACCCGAACAGATTGTTAGGTGTAAAAGCTGCCCAACTACTTTTCATAAAATATAAATTACCGCTACTTAATTTTGAATATTAATTAAAAGTTTTATTTGTAATGTTTTTACATTTTTATAGTATTTCCGCTTCTGCATCCGTTTCTGCTTCCGTTATGAGTTATGACACTTCCATTGCACCACTAATTCTTTCCTACATCATTCATATAAATTTTTCATTTCACAAATTAAAGAAGAGAGGAAGCGAGGGAGCGAGAGAGAGAGAGAGCGAGAGAGTTATGAATTAAAATAAATTCATTTAACGATAAAAATAAAGGAAATACATAACACGCACCTGTATTAATTTATGTTTGAGATGCGGCCACACCAATGGAAGTATCTTACAGTTCACGTCAATAGGATTCAGTAGACTCGCCACACACGAAACTAGTCCACACACTTCATGTCTTATCTGAAATAAACAAAGAAATAGCATATGAAATAATATAAATATTTTGTATGCTTAGTAGTGAGACCCGCAGACCATTTTTTACTGATAACGAGGCATTCCATCTCATTCCTCAAGAGTAATAACGCGTCTGCATTTGATTCTTTATCTAGGATTAATTAGGTGTCAATGGGCCATAGCATCCATTAACTATCAGTTGAACTGTATTCGATAATCACACTTAAATAAAAAAACACACAAACACATGTGCCATATAACATAACCTTTTAGTCGGATTAAAATATCAGAGTAATCTTTGGGTGTTTGTAAATGTTAATCAATTTATTATTTTATCTTTTTTTTGTGAAATCAGCGCGTTAGTTCCAATATGCAACATCTGGCTGTCAGAAATGAGCACTGATTGCGAATGAGTGAGCTCACTCATTTGAGAATAAACACATTTTGGAATGGTCATACTATGGTAAGGGCACATCTATTTAAATCTTTGACTAATTGTAAAAATATGGAACCTTATATCAAAGGATTAAAGATCAAATTCCCCAAGAGCGTGGTGATTTACTAAATACCCCTCGAATTTATAACAATCTGTGGCCAGCAAGTGAATTGTTACATAATACGAGACGTTCAAACGATTGTGTAGTCTTTAATGGCGACAAAATACTCATTTTTTAAGAAAATCTTTGATGTATTAAACAGTCTTAAGACATATTGGTCAAAATTTAAAATTAGCTTTTTGTCTAGTATTTGTGTAAATTTAAAATCTAATGCTCTATAATATTCAATTTTTATTAGTCTAAATTAATCAAGCTTAGAGTTAAAACAATAAGTATTTTTGTCACACTTACCCATAAATTGGGATGTGCGAGGTAAACGGCACTTTCAGCGAGCAAGTCACACAGGGCTTGTTTGGGCAGTAACCCCAGCTCTGCCAAACTGGTAGTGGCTCGCAATGCTTTCGCTATGATCCACTCCGATTGATCTGTAAGACCCTATCAAAAAAATTTGACATAATTCTGTTGTAGCATGATAAAAACTGTTTTGTCATATTTGGCTGCTAGGTTGTAATACAATACACATACATGCACTATACCAGGCAGGCACATATATGTATATAGCACTTTATAATAGTGATGTACATTCTGTAAATGCTAGTAACAGGCACAAGTTAGTTACACCAGTTGCTACAGACTCCAGAGTCAGTAATTCCTTCATGGGGCAATGTATACGCTTTTACAACAAAGTCCCAGAAAATGTGCAGATCTTATCTATCAAAATGCTTTGTGTCAATCCTTGGGGGAGGCCTATGTTCAGCAGTGGACTTGTGAAGGGCTGTAATGATGATGGCATTATATTAATATGAAACGTAAATAGAATGGACGTTATGGGTAGAAGCCTACCTGTAAAGTCCATTCTATTTATTTAGGTATACGTAGGGTATAGAATTTTCGATATATTTTGACGGCTCCAACTTGGTGAAATTCTTTATGTACGTTTAAGTAAGTCCCTAAATAGTTTAGATTCACAGTTAGACCCTGTAGATGGCGCTTTTGTCAAGATCCAGAAATCACCCGTGCGAAGTCGGGGCAGATGACTAGTTATAAGTAAAATACCCTCGTTGCTTTAGTGGTTGTAGTAGTGCGACTGCTGATCATGAGGTCCTGGGTTCGAATCCCAAAAAATTAATTATTGAGTTTTTCCGTCAAGAAATTCTCAGTAGTTGCCTGGAGTCAGGAAGTTGGCGGTACCTCACCCCCGTGCCTCGGAAAGCAAGCCGTTGGTCCTGCGCCTGATCTCTCTCCGGTCGTGTCGGTTTACTGTCCCATCGGATTATGAGAGTGAGGAAATAGAGAGTGCATCTGTGCTTGCGCATACACTTGGGCACTATAATCCCGTCCTGCGCCGATGGCTAGCCTCCGTTGAGGCAGGCCGCCGTGACCGAAATTCGGTCTGGAGGACATTATAAGTAAAATAACTTTCTAATTTAAGTATTTAAAAAACAAACCTGCTGAAGCAACGGGACTAATATCGGGGCAGCGTGCTGGCCTACGTACGCGGCAACACCGACAACGCGCTCGAAGAAACAACCTCGTAACGCCGCCTCCTCTTTGTCATTCAAGAATGTTACCATGTGCGAAAGAATTACATCGTTTGCTGGAAAAATAATACAATGATTGAGAACGGATTTATTGTAACGTTTTTACTTTACTTTTAAGATGTTAATAATCCTAAATTGTTTGAATCCTTGATATGTCCAATTATTACGCGTCACTTAAGCACATGTATATCAGACCATCAACATGGGTTTAGGAAGGGCCATTCGATTGAAACTAACCTTGTATCATTTATGTCGTATCTCTGTAAAGAAATTGACAAAGGACAGGAAGTTGATGCTATATATATGGATTTTTCTAGTGCATTCGATAAAGTCTGTCACTCGCGCTTAATTAACAAGCTAAAAAGATATGGGGTATGTGGATCTTTGCTAGAATGGTTCCAGTCTTATTTAGCAAAAAGACTTCAGTTTGTGGTAGTGAATGGTTACAAATCAGAAAGTTATATAGCGTTCTCAGGCGTTCCGCAAGGATCGCATCTGGGTCCAGTCCTTTTTGCTGCCTTTATCAATGATATAACTTTTGAAATACGCAACTCTGAATTCTGTCTTTTTGCTGACGATTTAAAAATATACAAAACAGTAAAATCTATTGTAGACGTGCAACTCATCCAAAGTGATTTAAACAGAATTAGTACATGGTGTCAATTAAATGGTATGATACTTAATACTAAAAAATCATATCACATTAAATTCTCAAGAAAGTCTATACCTTTCATGTCCTCCTATAAGATGAACTCTGATACCTTGGAGCAGGTTAAAGAAGTTCGAGATTTAGGCGTAATAGTGGATAGCAAATTAAATTTTAAGTCTCACATTGATGCTACCGTCCAAAAAGCTGGAAGAATGCTTGGCTTCCTAAAACGAAACGCTAAAGGTTTTATGTCAGCCAAAACCAAAATAATTTTATATAACGCCTTGGTTCGAAGTCACCTAGAGTTTGCATCGGTGGTTTGGGGTCCTCAGTTTATCACTTATTCCCAACGCATTGAAAGCATACAGCGTTCATTTACTAGACATCTTGCGTTCCATTCTTCGGGCATTTCCCACCGTAACACCTATAACGTTCGTCTCAAACATTTCGCAATGATGTCACTTTGTGACCGTCGTGTATTGTTAAATATATTGTTTTATTACAAAAAATAATTTCTGGTGCCGTAGATTGTAATAACCTACTTCAGTGCATTAATCTTAACATCCCATGCAACTATCCACGCCATCCTATTACTAAAATCTTTTACATCCCTGCCAGTAGAACAAACCTCTTAAAAAATTCGCCTATATCAAAAATTTGCGCCGAATACAACCGGGTATGTGTATTTGTTGACATTGACATTTTTCATGACTCATGCATTAGTTTGAGAAAGAAGTTATCTGTGTACCTGCTCTCTAAGTAGGTTCTTAAAATTTCTTAAAATTTTGTAAAATTATTTTGATAATCTGTGTACTATTTTTGTGCTTTTTTTTTGTTTTCTAATATTCGTATTTATAATAACATGTCTTAGATTTTAAGAGAATGTTGTACACGTCTTTATTGGCGTACATACCAGGCCTTTGTTTTATGTAAGATTTGCATATAAATGTATTGTGTGTTATGCTGTTAATGTGTCATAATAAATAAATAAAAAAATTAAAATAAAAAAAAAGAGAGAATAATATCGCCGTGTAGTGACCGCATATTCGAAATATCATCCCGTGGGATTTGTAAGAAGCGACAGAGCGGAATGATGCAAGAAATGGGCAGCATAATCTGCCTGATAACAACTCAAAATAATAAAAAAATTACCTGTCTGCCAAGCATGAGAACTATTTTAAATATCTACCAATGTATGTGAGATGTCTGTAATCAGCAGTTGATTTTTTAAAGGCTGGAATGATGACAATGATAATGATGAATATCATTCATGGTGTCAGTAAAAGTATACTTAATTGTGACATGGGTTTTCATTTTTAATATGTTTCCTCAAAGTGACACACGATTACTTAAATTATTAATGTGTAATAAGCGCGTAAATATTGTGTTAAACATAAAGATAGAATGTCGCATTATATTGTAAATAAATACCTTTCTGTTTTCCAAAGAAAACACACAGTTTCGTAATTCCATTCTCCACTAAAGCCCGTTTGACGACCGCTTGAGAGTCGGTCAGGAGGTAAGACACGGTTGAACGAACCTGTAGTGAAACTTCTTGATATAATCATAAGTTTTACAATATGGAATGGTTGATACAATGCATATTTAGTATTTGTTTATAATATCTTAGAGTTTAGTATATGGGTATCTTATTATCGATTGAATTTCAATTGTAATTCAATAACAAACAAGACATCTCTAGCAAATGATCCCCAATAATTTATTTCGTATCCAAAATACATTATGTTAAAATTTTCTCGTTTCTTCAATAATATACATATTGTAAGCTAACTGCGATATGATCAGAATTTACATACATACATATATTTTTTATAGAAGAGGGGGCAAACGAGCATGCGGCTCATGGTAAGTGGCTAACGTCTCCCATGAACAACTGCAACACCAGGGGAATTGCAGGTGCGTTTCCGGCCTTTTAAAAATGAGTAAACTCCCAGTCCCTAAGTAGGTCCCCAAGTCGGATCGGTCCGGAAAAATTGCCGGTCGTAAACAATTCCACAGAGAGATTGTACAAGGAAGAAAACCTCTAGTAAAACGCACAGTGATGTACCGCCAAGCATCCAAATGGTGTAGGTGGTATCGTGAGTTTTGACCCGATGTGCGTTAGTGAAATTTGGCGGCTGCAACTAATCCGATCCATTCCTCAGAGCACTCCCCGTGGTAGATCCGATAGAAAATCCAAATGGATACAACATTACTTCGCAGCGCCAGAGATCGAGCCGATCAATAAGAAATTCGTCGTCGACGATTTGAGCACCTCTGCGCTGGATAAGGTCAAGTGGAAGCAGCTGGCACTGGGATGCCGCGGCCCAAAGTTGAGAACAGTATTCCATGTGAGGCCGAACTTGCGCCTTGTAAAGTATGCAAGTGGTGTGCCAGCATGAAATACTGTCCCGCGCTGCTGAGTACGCCAAACATATATGTATAAACACTAACGCCTGTCTTAATTTGCCCATCTTCAATATATTTCCAATTTGGTGAGGAAACTTCTAACTAGGGTGTCCCTTGATGAGAAATTGTAATTCTAGAACTACTAACTCACGCCTATCACCCAGAGGGGTAGGCAGAAACTACGGACTTCCATTTGGTACATTCCAAAATTTTACACATATTTATACTATGTATTTTGAAAATAATTTGTCTTACCATTTCATGTAGAGCCGAGAGTTCTGTTTCATAGTTGATATTGGCTGTCTCTTTATCCACCATATTTTGCGTCTGGTCAAGAAAACGCACTGCTGTCTCCGCCAACTTCGCTGTCGAAATATTATCTTTGTTATGGAAGATATTGAACGGATTAATATGGTGCCCTTAAAAAGATACCATGTGTTTGTGTACCGAGTACTGTTGTAAACGAGCAATTCTTGTATATATATATATATATATATATATATATATATATAATCGGCTCCAAAGATTTTCATGAAATTTAGTATGCAGGGGGGTTTCGAGGGCAATAAATCGATCTAGATAGGACTCATTTTTAGGAAATGTCGTTTTATCCATATTTTTAGGCTATGAAAAACTGCTACAATATCATTAGAATACGAAAGTAAATTTTGTCAGAGCCTGAAAGATCATAACGGCTCAAATGGGATATCGGGCGGTGCTGAAATCATAGAACGCCGGTTCGAGTCCAAATGTCTCCGGTCCGACTCCTTTTACCTTTTTTTCCTTCTTTTGTAAGAAAATATATTATATGGATGGCCCATTTTTTAATATATTTTTTAAATACTAAAAATAATGATCGAGAAGATCGAAAAATTTTATTCATTTTTCATGAGTTTGTAATTTGTATCTAAATATGATTTACAAAAAACACGATTTCCAACAAAAATACCAAGCAAAGCTCGGTCATCCAGGTACTAACAGATTGATACCAATAGATGATGTGATTGCTGTTATCATTAGTACAGACATTAAAGTACTGACCGATGTTATTGGCGTAGGCGATGCGTACTGGAAGCGCTGGGTCGGCAGCTCGAGGAGCCAGTTCTGGCAGGATATACTCAGGAAACACGTTGCAACCAGTAGGCGGCAAAGTTCGCACTTGGGATAGACACCTTGTAGCCGCCCATATTGCCGCGGACCGGACCCTTGCTGTGCCGTCGTGAGACAAGTGAATCTAAGGAAAAAAAATGTATGTGTATGTGTGAAATTTTTTTCCTGCACACAAGCACTACTTGCTGTAGACGAATGAAGCTCTGACAAACGACTGATGACGGAATCCTTTCCAAAGTGATACCAAAGGACATTTTTGATAGTTGGTGATGAGAAAAGTATTACATAGAAAATCTGAGCATAAGCTATATAGCTGCGTGAGGCAGCTGAGCGACTTTGAGCTTCCTAATATGGCTGGCGGTGAAGGACTATGTCTCTGATCTATATGTCATCACAGGCATAATGCACTGATGATGGCATTAGAGTAGGGTGTCTAATTTTTTTAAGTTATAATAAGATTTTCTCTTTCATTTACTACAGAACAATTATTCTTAAAAATTGTCATAAATGTTAATTAAATATTCAGCCTATGAATATAAACAAAAAAAAGAGATTATTATAAAGAAATAACACTCACAATATATGGTAGTATCCTATCCAATATTGTCTCAGAGCTTGAGTTTTCACACAACAGTTGAAGTATTTCCAAGCAGTACAATTTAGAGGTGCAATGATGCAGTCCCCTTATGCAGGATGTGACCAATGAAGTTATCAGAATTAACCCCTCACCATCTGGGCCCATTTCCCTTCTCTCAATGGCCTTATTGTCAGTTTCTTCCTCAAAATCAGTTACATTTATATTCATGACCTTAAAACCCTCCTTCATCAAGGCTTCTATATTGTCAGGATTGTTTGTTTCTGTGGTCTCTTCCACCAAATCCTTATAGTTTTTTGTGTCTGATGGCTGGGTGAAAATTTTAATAATATTTTTAATGTCCTGGTGTATTCGCAGGATTTTCTCGTCGGCCGGCAGTATTGGTTGCGCAGAGAATATAAGCATGTAAGATTGTAAAAAAGAGTAGAAATATTCGGGAAATAATCTGAAAAAGAGTGCAACATATTTAATATTAAACTAATTGCTGTATTCCTCTTCAAATAATACTATCACATTCTTTAAGTCTTTAGGACTAAACATGTATAAAGAGTCTTTATTTATATTACTAGGTAATTAAATAACGAAAACACTATACATTATAGATAGAAGAAAATAAATTGATCTTTTTTTGATATAATTCGTGTCTACAGACTTGTCATGAATCAATTGCTTTTATTTACATTATTTGAACCACGCTGCAGCTATATTATGGTTGTAGCTCGAATGGGACGGCTCGACCTTGGAACGACCACGCTCTCACAGAATACTAGCGTAAAATAGCTGCTTAGTGCTGTTGTGTTTCATATGGTGAGTATAGAGAACCGGAGACCTTTTTACTGAAACCGAGGCATTCCTTCTTAGTCCTCAAGAGTGATAACGCATCTGCATTTTGATTCGTAATCGAGGACCAGGAAATTAGGTGGACTGAGTGTTCGTTTGTCTTATCCTATAAAATAAATACATAAACCAAAACAATTTTCTCCGAAACATGCTGAATTTTTAAATATACTTAGTTAAGCAATAATGATTCAACCCATAAAAAAGAGTTTTTACCATGTGGTTGAATGCACTCATCGAATCCATTTTCTAATTATTAAATAACATTTCTTAAAATGTGATTTTAATCAGGTTTCTTTTTTTATATAAAAAAGTGACTGACGTAATTACGGTTCAATTGATGGTGAGGCGCTGTATTACATGAAGCGACTTCAAGGACAAAGATGGAGTATCTCACAGCCTGCAGTAATTATACTGACCCTCTACTCTTCAGAACGGAACACAGCAGTGCGCATACTGCTTGATGGTAGAAATAAGTAAGTGTAGTATCTACCCAGACAGTCTAGAAGTCCCACCACATGGTAAAAGCTTGTCTCAGGGTCCTCTCATACACATAAGTGTTAGAGATACGTTACAGACAAGTGAGTGTCTGTGTTATCTCGTGTACTTGTGGCACTATAACCTCCTACCCTGTCGATAGCTGCCGCCAGGATTCGATAGATGATACTGTTGCGTGTAATAATTAATGCCTGGTACATGGCACTAGCGCCATCTAGTATCGAGTAGCAGAACTAAGCTTTCTAGAAAAGTACATGCTAGAACTTTCTACGCCTAGTCAGTCGGGACCGGTATGTGAAATGACCCCAATAGTATTGAATTGGAGATACAAGCGAATACTTTGAAGCGATATATTTGCGAACTAAATGTTAAATGTGATTAATTATTAGTGTGTTTAAAGTTGTAATTGGTGTTCGGCAATTAAAGTGTCAATTTTGATCATTCAATCGGCAGTTTTTACTAACACGAATCCTCAGCTCGTAACAATACTATGCTCTAAACTGGTAAGGAGGACAGTACAATATATTCGTACGTCAAAGATATTTGAAACAAAACATACTTGCCCCTAGCTTCGTCCAAATATATCTCGGCATTACGACGATCGCGAGGATTCCTCTCGGTCATAGAGTGCAAAAGCTCCCTCAATCCTGGCTCACAAGTGTCTGGCAACGTCATAGTAGACGGTCGATCTTCGCCGTTGCGATATGCTAGCAACCCTGGCAAGTCTAAAGCTGGAGTTCCATCGTTCCATAGTTCTAAGAGGGCGCATCTGTGTATTTAAGATTTAGACAATAAAACATTGTTTAAAGAATGAATGAACTGAATGAATAAAAAATTTTATGATTTTTGAGGTTAAGTTTTTATTTACAAACACTGCTGCCACATTTCTACAGTCGATGAACATCATTTCTACAAGCACACACATCTACATCTTCATAATTTCATTAGGGATGTGTATTCCATGTGTGTAAAAGTAACATGTACCCTGCGATAAAACTCGTTTAACTAAATTTTGTGTATTTATTTCCATTAAAAAAAAAACAAAAAAAACTTTACAGTAACCTATAATTGAACATGTAATTGTTTTACTTAATAAAATATGTAGTTATATAATTCTGCTTACCCTGCTGAGAAAATATCCATACTTGGTACCAATTCCCCTACTTTACATGGAGATTCACTCAGTAACAAGTCACTAGATTTGTCATCTCCCTATAAAAATTAGAAGGTAAATTGATAATTTGTTTTGAATTGCAATATTATTCAAAAAACCTTATCAACAAAGTAAGCCATACAAGTAATCCATATTTAAACTTAGAAAATAATTTGGAAAATGTTTCCAAATTATTTTAGTTGCAGTTCTTATAACTCAATTATGATTATACTTACAGAAGACCTATAACTAGGATCTGGCGCTCTCACAAATCTCTCAGGCGCGACATAGCATAATCTCCGGCGCGAAGTGTCGAAGAAATAACTAAAGTCGGCTGGGTTGTCGTCTGGCAAGAAAGTCGGCTTGAACGATGCTATATCAGTCAACAGTACCCACAGCCACGATGTCACCATTATGTTTTCTAGCTGTTGGAGAAAACATTACTGCAAATATTTTACTACAATATCACCAACTGTATTATACTGTTGTAAATAATGGCAGGGCGCGGATCGCGAACTCAAACGGTCGTGGGTTCGAAACCGCCATTTAACTACTGCCGTGAACCACTCCTAACACAAGCGTTTCAAGCTTACCAGGAGTGGTTAGAAGGAATTATTAGTAATATTAATTAATAAGATTACTAATATTTTTCTAAAAAAAAAGAAAGAAAAACAAATAACTAATAGCATTTTTCCAAGTTTTCTTATTAGCTTTTAATAATTTAATGGCTATAACCTGATTTTATCATTTTGTCTCAAATTAGTCATTAGTTAGTAATCCACTATCTCATATATGTGTCGTAAGAGGCGACAGAGAGAAACTGAAATAGGTGTTAAATTAATTGCGCGCAATTTTATTGTATAAGTTATTATAAATGCTAGTATTGTACAAAATTTTATCGAGTAATTATTGCACTGTACCATTTTTAATGAGTTGTTTCGGAGTATTGCAAGTATTTGCCTAGTATATATATAGTTTGGGAATAATGGGGACTATTCACTTTGCCCAGACTTCCCCTATAGATAACAGAAAAACTTTTTTTGTCTACGTAAGGAGCGCATCAGCTCGACCGCTCGAGTGAAAACCTCACCGAATTAGCCTCTTGTACGCAGTTTCGCAGCGTAGGTATATTTTCATGCCAAAGGGTACGGACAGACATGCTCATTAGTAGCACGTGTGTCGCAACAATGCTAGTAATGAGTATGCTTAAAAATCAACCGACGTTTGATTTTCGAGAATGCTACATGAGGCGCGGGTGGAAGGGCGTCCTCTGAGCGCGTCAAAAACTGCACAGAATTGCTTATGAGCATGTTTTATCGAACCTATCTCGATTCGCGACAGTTGTTGCGTCAATTTAAATTAAAAAATCCTCGATATGTCGCGTTGGGGGGAAGAAAAGACTTTGCTTTTTCTTCTTACATCATTCGCTTGCAAGCACTATGATTATTTTATTAAGTTCTGTATGGACAGCACTGTCACTATATCTTTGTACATCCATTTCGGCTGAGAGCCTGGTTGCTTTAAGTGTGTGTAAGGTAAAGCGTAGCGAGATGCCCATACCGAGAATACATTTAACGCCCTTAGTAGATGGTGCATGTTAATTATTTGCTTTGACTTTATGCATATAATAGGCGAGAAACTTCTACACTGTTAATGGACTTAAAGACATTAAATAACTGCTATGTTGCAATTATAAATATGAGTTGTGACTTGCGGTTCACAAGGTAAAACTTGTAATTCTTTCTTACCTTTACTGCCATATTAAGAAATAGTAAATTTGCATTTAGAGTATTTAGAAAGAAGAGAAATATTTTTACAAACCTTAATATCCCCATGACAGATGCCTAGTTTATGCATCCTATGCAGTGCATACAGCACTTGGAATGTGATCCATTTTTTCTCTAGCACTGTTAGAAACGGTCGCGTCGACATGCGATCGTAGACGCTGCACTTGCAGTACTCTCGCATCAACAGACCCGCTTTGTCTGTCAGCTGGACAAAATGGTACAAATTATAGAAGTTACAAAAAATATTTCAAATTTAGATGGGTTGGGAATGGGTGCGTTTGGTAGAAAAAAGCGCTAGCAAGCGCTTGTAAGCAAAATGGCGAATCTAAACAGTTTTCGGCCAGGACACATTTGCTAACTTCAGTAGCGCTGACACAATTCGCCATTTTGTTTATTTAATTTGTTTGTTTTGAAGTAGAGTTTATAAGTTGTTTTGTGCAATGTTAGTTTTAAGTAATATAATGACATGAATAGACCTATACATATTATTAAAAATTCATGATTGGTAAGTTTTTAATACGAATACTTTACAAACATATATTTAAATTAGGTTAGGTTCCCCGGTTAAAACTAACTTCGTGTCCTAGAGGAAAATAGCTACTTACAATTTGACAGCGCTTACCGCTTACGATCGCCATTTTGCTTACAAGCGCTTGCTAGCGCTTTTTTTTGCCAAACGCACCCAATATTATGGCATTTGGAAAAACTTGTTAATTGTCAGCATGAGTAATAATCTGCAGTGGAGCTAGTCCAGTTCACTTTCTACTATCTTTAATGTTAAAAATCTATACAAATGAAATCAATTTTAACACTTTCACTGTCCAATTTTCAGACTCAATAGGGTTGAAGTAAGTAATCAAAATTGGAAATGACATGTGAATGTACGTGTAGTTTCCATTATTGATACTGAATTTATAGCTAAGCAAGTTTTTCTAGTCAATAAATTGGATTTGATGTGGTGGTGGTACAAACACAATATACAAACTTAAAATTTAACTTATTTTCGTTTTTATACTACATTTTGGCTGACTATAAAACTTGGATATAACCCAGTAGACAACCCAAATTAAAACGACAGTTATTAAATTACGACGAAGTAAATAATGCTATAGCTAAGTTAGTCAATTGGTTTAATGTTAATAATTTGCATTTGAATGGAACTAAAACTAAATGTATGAAATTCGTAACTCCTAATGTTAAACATATCAATACTAATTTAATTTTAAATGGGGAGGAACTGAGTATTGTTGATACCACCATTTTTCTTGGAATAACACTGGATGCAAAGCTTCAATGGCTCCCCCATATATCAAAACTAGCTAGCAGACTTATTTCTGCAGCATATGCTGTAAAAAAGTTTAGAACTTACCAGTGTTGAAACAGCTGGAATAGTTTACTTTAGTTATTTCCATAGCATTATGTCATATGGTATTTTGCTATGGGGACACGCGACTGACACTGAAATTATATTTATTTTACAGAAGAGGGCCATTAGAGCAATATATAATTTAAAACCAAAAGAGTCACTGAGACAAAAATTTAAGGAAATCAAAACTCTGGCCTCTCAATACATTTATGAAAATGTAATGTACGTACACAAAAATAAAAGTAGTTTTGCGAAAATAAGTGATATTCATTCTGTAAATACTAGGAGCAGATACAAGCTAGTAGTACCAGTTACTCGACTCCACCAAGTCAGTAATTCATTCTTGGAGCTATGTATACGCTTTTACAACAAAATCCCAGAAAGTATACAAAATTTGTCATACACAAAGTTCAAAAATGTTATTAAATAAGTTTGTATAAAAAGGGTTATTATAATATTAAGGAATTTATGGATGATAATAACCCCTGGGAAGGGTGATCGCTACCAAGCTATTTCTAATTTGTCTTGTGTTGTTGATTGTAAACATGATTGTAAGCTATTATTAAAAAAAATAGTCCCACTGGGTTTCTTGCTGGTTCTTCCCAGGACAGAGGTTTTTTTGCGAACCAGTGGTAAATTAAAAAAGTGACTTTCAATAAGTATTTTTATAATCTACATTGAATAAAAAAGTTTCTATTTCTATTTCTAATACCATTTGTACCAAACATAGCTCCCTAATCACTTTTATGTTCCTGATGGGATTGTTTTTCGACATGATACCGTGTAATGGCAGTAAAATAATATGCAAAGGAAAATAAACCAGATGAGCATGGGAGTCTTCCTAATAACAACTGAAAATAGCATATACCACCAGAAATTTTTCCGGAATGATATGTCTTAGGGACCTTCAAAAAAAAGAGCCTACTCCTTTTTAAAAGGCCAGCAACGCATCTGCAATTCCCCTGGTGTTGCAGTCTTACCATCAGGTGAGCCGTATGCTCGTTTCCCCCTCTCCTATAAAAAGAATCCCCCTTATGAGGCAATCTATATATGGGAAGCATATGTTAAGCAATGCACTTTTACACGCTGTAATGGATCTATACAAACATAAATGACCAAAACCACTTACAATTACTCTCTGGAAAGGCAGACAGTTGAAAGCAGAAGCCAGTTGCTCTTTTATTTTCAGTATCCTGTCCTTGTGTTCAGCCAGTGGAAGCGACGGGTCATGGACAGCAAACACTTTAACAACTATCAATCCTTCTCTCGATCTAGCTCTGGCAACTTTGAGAAACCTAGTTGAACCGAGGCTGAAAAGATCATGTATTTTTTTTATAAACACGAATTTTACATAAGTTTAATTTCATTAAATAAAACACTAACAAAATACTGTTAGTGTTTTATTTGTTGTTATCATAAATCTTAATCTCTATATATAAAAATTAATTGCAGTATCTTCTCGCCAAAACTCGAAAACAGTTAAACTAATTTTGATGAAATAATTTATTTGCCACATATATAAAACTAACTCATAAAAAAAAAACGAAAATGTAGAAGTAGAAAATACAAGCTTATTGGAGCATAGAGTCTCACCTCTATTGAAAATCATATAATATGGAAAAGATTAACAAGAGAATATCTAGTTATTGCTATGTCATTTCAATACTTTCTTAGTCAACTTCTGTAGAAATGCATACTTTGGTCATATTTATCCACAGTTCTGGTACAATTTTTTGGAGTAATGTAACTAACATAAATGAAATAATATATTACAGAACCGACATAACAGCAGTTAAAGTATTTAATCACTTACTAAATAGTATTACCAAATTCAAATACAAACTAAAAAAACTTGTTGGTAGAACACATGTTTTATACCCTAAAAGAATTATACGATTTTAACAACTTCCCAGTTTGCGATATAGTTCATATATGACTCACAGGACAGTGGTTAATACCATATATTTCGGATTTGTGGTAACAGGGTGCTTTTTAAACTAGATAAGACACATCATTTTATTTCACTGAGCAGATGTGGGCAAAGTAATTTTTACAACTTTAGTACAATGGACTTCCACAAAGTAACGCCCGATTTTATTAAAAATGTATAACTACTACTATAATATTACATGTAGTACCACCCGTCACGCATGTTTTTACCCGAGTAGGCTCAACAATATGTTGGGCCCACACAGTAAAAGTCCCTCAGAAACAAGCGTACCCTTTATAAGGTCTGTATACGACCAGTCATGTCCTACGCGGGCCCCATTTTTGCCCACGCCAACCCTAAAATTATTAATAACTCCAATAGTTCAAAACCTTTCTGTCTTGAGCTACGCACCTTGGTACTCCTAATGCCGACCTTCATTGGGACCTAGAGCCCTTACAATTCAACAATTTCTCAAAAAAATCTCTGAGAACTTCTTCAAAGCCTCAGATTCGCACTCCAACCATTTTATTCGTGAGGCAGCTACTTATGCAGCCCCATCCCCCTCTCGCTATCGAGTCCGCAGGCCGAGAAACTCTCTCTCGGACCTGTCTAATAAACTGTCAAACGACCTGAACTGCCTCCTGGCGGCTCAGGTCAACTCTAATTAAATTAATTTATTCATTCATAATTAATTTGCCTTCGTAGGCACTCCCTCAGCGTTTCGTAGCCGCCTGCGCCCTCTTTTCCCAAAAGAGGGTCGCTCCCGATACGGCACAATAAAGCTTAATCAGCCAGTTGCCAGTCCCTAAAGGCGGTTTTTAGAGGGTATCACTTAGGTTCCCCGGTAGGATGTGAGTCCCTCATAACCACGATAGACCGGCTATCGTGGTATGCGTAATGCATTTTCCGCCTCCCTACGTATAGGGTAGCCCTTTAATTGCTTCGGGCGCAAAAAAAAACATGTAGTAAAAACCATAAGAAATGATTCTTGTGTTTGCAATAATAATAAGAGCATCATAAGTTATTCCCATAGAAATACAGTAGGTTTTATAACTCATAGGTGTGTGAGTAGGAGAATAAAGTCAGTATGTTGGTTTAAATTAACCTGATATATCAAACCTAAGCAGTAAAGACAGAGATATAATACGTAGTTATTATAGATTATGTAATGGCGGTGTAAGAATATCCACTACCCCGTATCATCCCCTGGATGTCGTAAGAGACAACAGAGGGAAACACATCAGGAGATGGGCAGCAGCGTCTTCATAATACGACTTCAAATAAAAAACTGCAGCTGGCAACCCTCTTGCCAAGTGTGGCAATAATCCATGGAGAAGGCCTATGTTCATCAGTGGACTCTAATAAGCTGTAACAGTAACAATATTATAGCATCAGTATATTTATAATCTCTATATTTAAAAATCAATTGCTGTCTAACAGTCTCACCACTATCTGTCAGTCCACAACTCAAAAACAGCTCCACCAATTTGGATGAGTTTTGTGTGTACGTACTGGCCCCTATATAGTTTAAATTCACATTTGGACCTGGTATATGGTATTTTGTCGAGATCCAGATATCACCCGTGTACACCTGGAGTGGTTGCTTGTATGTATATATTTGATATGAAATATGTATGCCAATTTACTATCAAAAATATTGTTACAATATTAAATCATATTATTAGGGTTGAATTAATTGTTACAATATTAAATCATATTATTAGGGTTGAATTAGTCAACTAGTGTTGGTTTATGCCTAATCATATTATAATAGAACCATTGACTGAGGATGTTCTCTACATATTCTCTTCCTTTCCAAACCAATCTTACTGATTGTAAGTATTATAAGATATACGAAGTTAGGAGTCTTTCCAGATAACTAAATGGACGGAAAATATGACTTTTTGGTACAACAAGTTGTGTTTACAATAACTTATTTTTTGCGCAACTTACCTTTGATCAAAGGATAAATCGGCATGATCACTAAGGTAATGTTCTACGGGGTATATCTGGGACGGAGCGACACCCACTAACTGATTTCCCATTGTCTTCCACTAAATTAAATATCGTATTCTTATTGAAATGCGTAATGACTTAACTTTCTATCCTTTCTATCGATACCTGGGATACAATTTATTACGTGCAAATTTTCAACTACATTTGTAACCATGCAGAGTATAAACTAAGTAATCGCATCAAGAAAGATGAAATTGCAATTTTATACCCTACTTTGACATTGGCAAGTGGAAATTGCATTGAATTGTATCAAAAATCAAAATATCCACCATCTACCTAGTATGTCAAATTCAAATACAAAAGTATATTTATGGTTTGGTATATTTTGTAGGCATGTCAATTTGACATCGATTAAATACATAGAGATATATTACCTATGGCGTATACAGAGAAACCTATAGACAAAGTGACGCCTTCTTTCGCATTCGCACACGAAAAAGATAGATTTATGCATACGTCTTGCATAGAAATGAGATAGAGCGGTGTGATTGTTTGTCCCTTTCTCCGTGCTGGTTTTTTTAGCAAACTCTACAGTTTACTAAACAACTTTAACAGCGTAGCGATTTAAGGAGTTTACAAGTTTGTTTAAGTGAGAAAAAAGTGTTTTGTGACCTTAAGATTGGTGAATCTTGTTCAGTTCAGTTCTTAGAACAATTAAAATTTTTATCTAAATGTGTTTAAAAGTCATAAAGATTATTGTATAACCTAAAAATTCGTTATCGTACTTTCTCACTCGAGGCCACGCCGATCATTAGTCTATAGGTTTCTCTGTCTACGACCTATGGAGATGGCATATTCTACTATAGAAAATAAATAATAGTTATACAAATATGTATAATGTCGACACACACTTGTCGAAAACAGTTTTGTTTCTTTTTAACAAAGCAGTAGCTTCATTAGAAAAAGGAGACAACTACACTTTGCCATTTGCTTATTTTGACAACACTTTCGCGTCCATCCATGCGTGACTGCATCGCCATTTTAAGCGCCGAGTTTTGTGGTAGATCTGCTGTCAAACTGTTGCGTGCTAAAAGTTTTTTTGTTGTGTAGTGCAGTGCCCTCATCTTCTCTTATAGTAGGTCTTTTTCTTCTATGTATATTTTACTATGTTACTAGATGACCCTAATCACCACATAAAATTGATTTGATTTTGATATTGTGATTATAATATTGTAACTTTTTCAGCATATATCAAAGCAAATAAGTGTGTTACAACTTATTTCAAGAATAATGGTAGGCATGCATTTTTTAATTTTTTTTTCATGATCATGCCAGATTATCGAATTTTGCGAAAAATTCTTCGCCCGCATGGTCACTGAGAAATGAACTATCCATTGCTTTTTGAATAGAAAGAAAACTGAGTTTTATAGATTTGTCAGAGATGCAGCCATTAAAAGGAAACTGAGCAAAATTGATTCGTCAGTCCATTTAAATGTTTTGAAACGCAGCATAACGTTTGCCCTTGCGCTTTATTAATTGTCATTGCAAAACTGAGCTTAACAGGGAACTGCAACCTTTTGAATTGAAAAGGAAAATCTGTGGGAATTATAGGGATCCGTGGTATAATAAAATTTTCACCTTTTCCAACGCCTGTCAAAATTGTAGCACCGATTATGTTCCGTCCAAGATGTCACACGCAGCCTTGTCCAGTTACATAACCGAGGAGCATCTAAATTTCGCATTAGCATGATTGGGACGCCTAATTTTAATTGAAGCTTATGTGAGGGCACACCTGACAACTCTAGAGAATTTAGAAACTCTACGGGATATGAAGTGCTCTGTTCTGTGTCCATAACTGTGTCTGCTGACAAATACTCTGTTATTTTTCCTGCTACTTCGCTTAATATATCTGAATTTATTTTGTTAACGCTCTCATTTTTTGGAGCAAGAATCGCCCTTTCTTATAACCATCTGTCTTTTACAAAAATCTCTCGTCAATTTAACGAAGCCCTCAGCATCCGTTTCCAAACGCCCATCGCCAATTTTTAATAGTGTGTAAGCATAGTTTCCAGCATTGATATCATTATACAAATGCACTCTCATATTCGTAGTTATACTGAATTTTGTCACCTTGTTCCATAAAATAGACGACTTGAGGCATGCTTTAATTTCATCTGCAGGTGTGCCCTTTTGAATGACAGGTAAAGTTTGGCGAAAGTCACCAGCCAGTAAAACCACCATTCCTCCTATTACATCGGTATTGCTGCGCAAATCCTGGAGCATTCGATTTAGTGCTTCTACAGCTTTTTTATGCGACATTGTACTTTTGTCGCACACTAAAAGTTTGCATTGTCGTAGCATTATACCTCGTGCACTATTTTTGCTAAAATTACAGATCGGCAATTCTTCCTGGGCTAGATTTAGAGGGAGTTTTAAAACAGAATGTGCAGTGTGGCAACCGCTTAGCAGCGTGGCGGCTATACCGGAGGAAGCTATGGCCACAGCAATATTTTTATCTTTCCGCACTTGCGCTAATAATAAATTTAACAAAAATGTCTTCCCAGTTCCTCCAGGGGCATCTAAAAAGAAAAGTGCACCATTTCCAGATTCAATTTGTCCTAATACTTTGTCAAAAACTCGTTTTTGTTCGGGAAGCAAGCGGGGTACAAATTCGACTGCTTGCTGCTGAAAAGCTGGTATATTGTAGTTTGTTTCACGTATAATTTCATCACTTAGTTTATTTTTGGTTGTTCGCTGAGGACTTATCATTCCAAAGTCGCTTAATTTTTTTGCCTACCATTGCCATTAATTTATCTTCAATTTTTCCAAGTGCTTCATTATAAATGTGTTCATTGTATGTCATGTTTGCGTGTGTCTGCTGTAACCTTAGCAAAATATCTTCCGCCATGTACTCTTTATATTTGTCCCACAATTCATGTGCATTAGATAGCTCGCAAGATGATATGAGAGTTGCATAAAGATCCCTAATTTTGGCTGGTGACTAGCACTGCACAGCTTCCTCCATCGTTTCATCCCAGTAATTATCAATTTCTAAAAGATGCAGAGCTTCACATGCTTCTCTATAAGTTGCGCATTCCTGAGCGTTGACAGTTTTAAGGTCTTTATATCCTGTAGGACCCCGAACATGGTGCAGCAGCAATCGTAAACAGAAACATTCAAAATTAGTTACATGGACGGTAACACCCAGCTTACTTTACACCGGGCCTCACCGGGCCTCATGTATGGATTTTTATGCGTATCATATGATGTTGCGAGAAAATAATTTTAAACTCTTAGCCCGGTGTAGACAATTATTTCATCAATTTTTGGTAGACATGTATGTGAAGGTAGAAAGTGAACGTCTCCGTTATATATCTTTAAATCAAAAAAAGCTGCGCGTTGAGAATTATATACATTTACAAGATGCAGTTTTTAGCGACGGTAATGTAAACCCCAGAGATTTAGGTAAAATGGTAATTCTGCCCTCATCATTCGTTAACAGTCCCCGCTACCTACATGAGTACACACAAGACGCATTCGCCTATGTACGAACTTACGGAAGACCTGATCTTTTTGTTACTTTTACTTGCAATCCCACATGGAAAGAAATAACCGAGGAGCTAATGCCGGGCCAAAAAAGTACTGACAGACACGATTTAGTTGCTAGAGTATTTAGATTAAAAGTACAAAAATTAATGTATGTAATTAACAAAAGGAAAATTTTCGGAGAGGTGCAGTGCTTCATGTATTCAATTGAATGGCAAAAAAGAGGATTACCGCATGCCCACATTCTAATATGGCTTAAAGAGAAGTTGCGGCCCAGCCAAATAGACGACATTCCGATTCCGGATTCTGAGCAAGATAAAGTATTGTATGATACCATCGTCCGAAATATGATTCACGGTCCATGTGGAGCACGAAATTCAATATCGCCATGTATGAAAGAAGGAAAATGTCCAATGAAATTCCCTAAATAGCTATTAAAAGAAACAGTGCACAATGATAATGGCTACCCTTTATACAGACGCAGAGCTCCCGAAGATGGTGGCAGGAAAGTTACAATCAAATCTCGCTCTGGAGTGTTAGATAACAGCTGGATTGTACCGTATTCGCCCATTCTATGTAAAATGTTTAATGCCCACATTAGTGTAGAAGCATGTAGCTCTGTCCGCGCAATCAAGTATATCTGTAATTACATAAATAAAGGAAGCGATCAACCAATATTTAATCTCGGGAGTGAAGGTGAGGCAAATCCCGTTAATGAAGTACTAACTACTACTAACAAAATATGACAAGTATGACAGAAAAATAAACTAATAATACATAGTACTAGTGACAGTTAAAAAAAAGAACTTATTTTATGATACACGTGAAATTTACATATATAACGTAGCAATTACAGATATTCTAAATTGTGAAATATTAGAATTGAAAATGTCCACATCAGCGTTACGATGTCTCAGTTCGTCAAAATTTCGACATATTCGAATGACCGGATTAAATTCTGTAAACATCAAGGCGAAAGATACGCGGGTTACGCAGATACGGGATCGACCGTTAAAATTAATTAAATTAAGAAATTCTGGGCAATCGATGGAGGAGTGAATGATTTTGTGAAGGTAAATAAGCTCAGAATATTGTATTCGTTTATCTAATTTCGTAACTCCAAAGTAATTCACTCTTTCATTATACGATGGCAACTGGCGGTCAATCCATGTTTACGACATAAGCTCCGCAGAAAACATCTCTGGACTCATTCAATATTAGCTGTATATACTTCATAATAGGGTGACCAGACTACTGAGGCGTATTCAAGGATCGGCCTCCCAAGAGTGTTAAAAAGATATATTAGACTAAGGGGTCTCTTGAATACATTCATAACTCGTGTAACAAAACCAACTAAATGATAACCATGTTGCGTTAAGTGATTAAAATATTGCTTAAAATCTAGTTAAGAGTCAAAGATAACGCCCAAATTTTTAGCAACATTACTTTAAGACAAAGGTTGATCATTGATGTGGTATGTTTACTTTAGACGAGTTTTTTTAGTTGGGAAAGTTACAAAAAACATTTAGTTACATTCAAATGC